CTGAAAGGGCGACGTGTTTTACTGTCCCACAGACAACTCCTTCCTCTCTGGCAGAGGCTGTCATCTTTCCCTATTTCTTGAAACATCCTGGTAGGCAATGCAGGGACCCATGTGGCAATCAGTCACCTGTCTTTCCACACACGTCTTCTCTCCACTCCCTGGTCGTCTCCTCCTTGACGTGCGGGCGCACTCAGGACTTCACAAGCCTAGTTGTTCTGTGTAACAGCCTATAGATCATCATGGACCACGGACCCTGTTAAAGATTTACCGACTTCCTGCTTCAAGGCCAGGGTGGCGAGGCCCTGCTCTGCAGCCAGCTGATAAGGCAGTCCTGAGCGACTGTTCGGAGGGGGTGCCATTCACATGTCCGCCTGACAACACGTGCACCTGAATTCACAGGCTGACTCACTGGGCTCTGCTGACTACCTCAGACTATTACCTAACCAGAGGGGCAAACGTGAGGTTCACTTTATCATCCCAGAGGGGCAGGTTACTGGAAACTGTTTACTTTTAAATCTTTAATTGCTCTTGGCATCGTAGCTTTCCTTATCTAATTCCAAACAAAATGCAGTGCTCAGGAGGTCTGACTTGGCATAGGGATGCAAGCGTGGTTTTCTGCAGAGAGACCCTATAGTCGAGCCTCCTCTCAGGGAAAACCGCAGTCAACATTCACCTTGAAGAGGGGAGTTCAAAGTCAAGTGTATGTAGGCTTTCTTCCCTCAGTGACATGTGGAAAGTATAAAAAAATTGTCACCTGTCCAGTGATCTCATGGTGGAGACAGTGCAGAACTGTTAATGGCACGGAATAACCAACCTGCTTTCCCCATCAGGATACTTAAAAAACTTTATCTAATGTGGTTAAACTTACTTTAATATTTAACTACTTAAAAGTTAAATTCAATATATTACTCTCTTTTCTCATGCTTAGTTTGTAGTGCTGAAGGCCATTTGAGAGTAGACAATTTATAACAGCAGCTCGAACTTTTTGAGTATAAAACCACTTTATATATCTTAGAGATCGCTGAGGACTCTGAAGAATTTCTGTTTATATGGTTGGTCTCTCAATATTTACAATGTTAGAAATGGAAACTGAAAAAGAAAAAAATTCCTTATGATTAAAATAAATCTATTATATGTTATCAAAAATAATGTTTTTCATGAAAAAAATTTCAAAAAATGGCAGGGTAGGGGAGAAAAGCATATCATCATTTCAGATTTTTGTGACTATTTTCAATGTCTGACTTTGTTAGGAGAAACCTGGGTTCTCTTGCCTGCTGCGTTCAGTCTGTTTGATATGATGTCTGCTGGGTTGACGTACCAAAGAAAACCCATTCTCACACATTCAGATGGGAAGATAAAGGCTCTGAAGGCTTCCTGAAAGTTTTTTTTTTTTTTTTTTTTTGACAGGCAGAGTGGACAGTGAGAGAGAGAGAGAAAGGTCTTCCTTTGCCGTTGGTTCACCCTCCAATGGCCGCCGCGCTGCGGCCAGCGCACTGTGCTGATCTGAAGCCAGGAGCCAGGTGCTTCTCCTGGCCTCCCATGGGGTGCAGGGCCCAAGCACTTGGGCCATCCTCCACTGCACTCCCGGGCCACAGCAGAGAGCTGGCCTGGAAGAGGGGCAACTGGGAAAGAATCCGGCGCCCCGACCGGGACTAGAACCCGGTGTGCCGGCGCCGGTAGGCGGAGGATTAGCCTAGTGAGCCGCGGCGCCGGCCCCCTGAAAGGGTTCTAGAGCCACACGTTGGGCACTGACTGATGGACTGGGTCACAGCACGGAGGACATCTGTGTGTGGGCCCTCCTCACTGGCATGAAAATGGCTAAAAGCTGTGATGTGAACTTTGTGCTACACCATGGTCCTGTGAGTCAAAACAAAAGTAAAATCTCTCAAAAACCTGAATACAGACCAGCCATCCCACTCCTCAGCACTTCCCCAAGGAAATGAAGTCCGTGAACAGAAGAGCTGTCTGCACCTCCTTGTCTACTGCAGCTCAGTTCACAACAGCTAAGACACAGAATCAACCTAAATGCCCATCGACCGAAGACTAGATAAAGAAATTATGGGATATGTGCACTAGGAATACTACATGGCAGTAAAAACAACAACAACAACAAAAAAAAAAAAAACAAAAAGAAATCCAGCCATTTGCAACAAAATGGATCAATCTGGAAAACTTTATATTTTTTTTTTTTTTTTTTTTTACAGGCAGAGTGGACAGTGAGAGAGAGAGAGAGACAGAGAGAAAGGTCTTCCTTTGCCGTTGGTTCACCCTCCAATGGCCGCCACGGCCGGCGCACTGCGGCCGGTGCACCGTGCTGATCCGATGGCAGGAGCCAGGTGCTTATCCTGGTCTCCCATAGGGTGCAGGGCCCAAGGACTTGGGCCATCCTCCACTCACTCCCTGGCCACAGCAGAGAGCTGGCCTGGAAGAGGGGCAACTGGGACAGAATCCGGCACCCCAACCGGGACTAGAACCCGGTGTGCCGGCGCCGCAAGGTGGAGGATTAGCCTAGTGAGCCGCGGTACCGGCCGAAATAAGCCAGTCCTAAAGAGACTATACGTTCTCCCTTCTGTGAGAACTAGTTCACCTAAAACAAAAGCTGTAGAAGTGAAATTGACACTTTGAGAAGCAATGACTTGAACAGCCCTGTCTTGACTGCAGAGTAACAGTTTTTTATTTATTTATTTTTCTCTCCTTCATACAATATGTTGAACTCTTTACTTAACACAGTTAATCATACGTATATAAAGTCAAATGAAAATATATCTTAGTAAAAAATAAGAGGGGGAATAAGAGAGGGAGGAGGAGTTTGTAACTGTAAAGCTGTATAGTTCTGCATGCAGTCCTATGGACTTACTTCTAAGGGTACAGTTTAAAAACTTGTCATGGGACTCCAAATCCCAATAAGCTTGGGGGTAAAAATGCCATCTTAATTGTTGAAGTGATTAGATTAAGTGTTAAAATGAACATATAGACAGAATTAAGTGTTAAAGAGATCATATAAATAGCATCAAGTGTCTGGTAATAATAATAGAATTAAAAAGGAGGGAATGCCCAACGTGGGAAGTAGTCCTCACAGCAGACTCATAGAATGACAATCACTGACCTCAGAATCAGCCCTTAAGGCATCAGCTGTGGCTGAAAAGCCCATAAGAGCATTTCAGGCATGGAAATCCAACACACTGTGGCAAAAAATATCCAACATGAAAGATTTCTGTGAATGAAACCCCAGTGGAAAGAAAGGGCCATCAAAGAAGGATGTATTGTTCTCTGAAGTGAGGAGAGAACTTCCACTTTCATATGGCTTTTTCTATTTATTTATTTATTTATTTTCACAGGCAGAGTGGACAGTGAGAGAGAGAGACAGAGAGAAAGGTCTTCCTTTGCCGTTGGTTCACCTTTCAATGGCTGCCGCGGCTGGCGGGCTGCGGCAGGCGCACTGTGCTGATCCGATGGCAGGAGCCAGGTGTTCTCCTGGTCTCCCATGGGGTGCAGGGCCCAAGCACTTGGGCCATCCTCCACTGCACTCCTGGGCCACAGCAGAGAGCTGGCCTGGAAGAGGGGCAACTGGGACAGAATCCGGCGCCCCGATCGGGACTAGAACCCGGTGTGCCGGCGCCGCAGGCAGAGGATTAGCCTAGTGAGCCGCAGCGCCGGCCGCATATGGCTTTTTCTAAATATTGACAGAGTTTTTGGACATAAAAGGCTTCCATATCCTTGACAGCTCATGGCAAGAGCCTCTGGTGACCACTGACATCATAAATAAGAGTGACAATTGTTAAATTAACAGAGGTCACTGTGCGCTTACTCCCTATGTAGGACCTCTGTCCTTAATGAGTTGAACTATGAGAATTAACTGCAAAATTTGTTCTCAAACAGTACTTTATACGTTGTATGTGTGAGTGCAAACTGTTGAAATCTTTACTTAGTATAGAGTTGGTCTTCTGTATATAAAGTTAATTAAAAATGAATCTTAATGAAGAATGGGACGGGAGAGGGAGTAGGGGGTGGGACAGGGATGGGGGTGGGAGGGTGCTTACGGGGGGAAGAACCAGTATATTCCTAAAGTTGTACCTATGATTAGACAACTGTATTTTTCCTTAAAAGATGGGCTCTAAAAGGATTAGAAAGCTTTCCCTTGGCTGTTTCATCTGCCCTGGGCTGAGGGGAGGCAGGCACACATGAAGACGCCTGCTGGCAGACACTCACAGGACGGCAACATGGTGAATGCAAGCAAAGAACTGGCCTTTATCCAAATTCCTACTTTTATTTAAAACTCCCTCCTTATCCCTGCAAGACCAGCCCATTTGGTAAATGACCTAATGTCAGCCTTTCTGATCTCTGTGGGGTGGGAGAGGTCCTAGTTCCTGGGACCCTGAGGGCTACTGCTCGCAAGCAGAGTCAGGACTGAGGGTCCTAACGGGGGCAGCTCTGGCCTCCCACAGCTCTGAGCTGTGGCTCTGAGGAGTACTGGGGACACCAATTTAAAAGTCAGATGGAAGCAGCAATAACACTCATGAACCAGGGAAATTAACGCTAAAAACAGTGAGAACCTTTATGATCAATATGAAGGGCTTTTAACCAGAAGTGCTGGAGAGTTCAGCTGACCCTACAGACCCCGAGGCGTTGCTAGAAAGGGGCTAGTGCAGGAGCTTTGGCCACTCTCTCTGCTGTCTGGAGACTCACCTTAGAGTTCAGTGTGCAGCAGCAGCTGCAGGGAGAAGAGCCCTGGGCTGAGGCCCTGGCAGAGAACTGGCAGGGCATCGGCAGGCTCTAGCCAAGCATAGCCACGTGTCGCTTAATGATGGGCACCTGTTCTGGGAAATGCATCGTGGGATGGCTGCGACGTTGTGTAAATACCAGAGAGTGTTCTGAGACAAACTAAGATGGACTTACAGTCAGCAGACGACGGGATCTTATGGGACCACCACTGCATCTGAGGTCTGGCATTGACCAAAATACCACCACGCAGTGCATGGCTGGACTTGAAAGCCACTCACCTCATTGAAATGGACGTCCTGCATGCCCACATCTTCCATCATGGAGGCCTCCTCGTCGATGTTTGGGGTAATGACTCTGAAGGCTGTGCATCCCTGTCTGAACATGCCTGGAATTTGAGAGAGCAGAGGCTGAGTCAGAGACACTGATCCACACACACTGGGATCTTGGGGTTTCTTCCAGTGCTGAATACAACCCTTACGTGTCACGCTGGCACTCACACGGGAGCCTGGGGGTTACCGTGTGCTTTCTCTTGATTCATTTCCTCACACTTACCCCACATTTCCCTCCCTTGCTTCTTGTTCTCATCCCTTTGTAAACTTTTACCTCCCTTTTATTAAAGCGTATTCAGAGTGCAGTGTAGACAAACAAGCAGGTACTCAAATCAATGAGATAAGAAGTGATGGAAATGTGATCCGGGAAGACGACCCCCGCTCCAATACCAAGAAAAATAAAGGCGAAGCCAATGAAGGCGAAAGAGATGACTCAAAAACAGCTCTGCTTCCTTCACGCTGTGCTGTGGCTCTGGTCAGAGGTTCTGCTCTCTTGCCTGAGCAGACAGTAAAGCCCACGTGCAGCTCGGAGCTACCACAGGGCTGAGGCCACCTGCACCACGGGGGTGAGGAGAGGTCCCCTTCTCCCGATGCCACAGCAGCCACCACAACAGGGAGCCCAGCACTTCCGGGGCCTCCAAGGGGACAACGCAGAAGGCTGCAGGTAGACCGATGCCTGGGATAATGACAAAGTCCCTGAGCAAGCTGCGCATCTTGGAGTCACTGGGAAAGAGTTTTACTTCAGTTGGACGAGGCCAGCTGTGCAATATGCTGAAGTGAAGAAGGACCTGAAATGTTCTGCTACTCTCTCCTGGGAAGGCCGTGCACAATAAAATGAAACAGAAGTCAAAACTTGAACTGAGACCTCTCATACTTTTGGAAAAAGAGGACCAGAGTGTTTTGAAATCAAGCCTTGAAAAAGTAGATCCTAGAGTCAGAACTGTTTTTGTGTACATCTGATTAGGCTCCCAGCTTTTCAAGGGTCACTGAGCACCTCTGCCACTCTCCTTGGTTAGCCCTGCTTTCATCCTGTTCAAAGGAAGTAGCTTGAGGAAACATTAACACACGGAAAACAAAATTGCAGAGCCAACCACTCTCGGCTTAGGCCACAGAATACATTTTAAAGATAACTCAGCTCCAATGCAGTAACAAAAATGGTGACCAAAGTGTTTTCATTGCCCACACAGATGAACTGGAGAGCCCAGGGAAAGAAGGGAAGCCAAGTCTCTCCATGCAAAGTTGAACCAGAAAGTCCCCACTCCACTGAATGGCACGTGAAGAGAGCAGCTGGGGGCCCTGGGGGCTGGGCGACCCTCGGGCTCACCTGCCCGGCTTCTCCTCTGGCAGGTGCTATAGTGGCAGGAGAAGAGGGATGGCTCCCGACTGAGTGCGAGGTCAGCTTCTAAACATAAGGAAATGGATCGCCTGATCAAAGGGCTCCGTGGGAAACAGGACTGTTACTAAGTGAACACAGAACCCTTCTTGAACTTCTTGCTTCTTGAACTTCCTGTTGCTCACTGATGTGCGACAAACCCAGGCTCCCTTAAATTCCATTCCAAACAGTCAGCCGAAGCAGAAACACCCATCTCACGGTTTCAGCATCTGTGACTTTATATACTTCTCACTTTGTAAATGTACTCCTCATGAGCCCAGATCCGGCGCCGCTGTGAATAATCTAAGGATTATGGGATTCCAGAAACAAATGCCACCAGTTAGGGCGGCACTGATTCTGAAATGCAAACAAGCAACTGGTGTTTAACCAAAAGGAACCTGTGAAAGAATGCATGGCTGCTACCTGGGAGCAAGTGCACCGTGCATGTATGACGCATCGCTCCTGGCCCCTCTCCTTTCACTGGGAAGCAAGGCTGCCTTCTCACACAATAAAGCCCACGGGGCTGCCCTGCAGAACACATGTCTGATAATCTCCCATTACAACTGTAAGAACAAGTGGTCGGGCAGGGTGCTCATCTGTAAAGGTCATAATGGGTTTTTGCAAAACACAGCCGTCAAGAGGAGGTTATACAGCAGCCTGCTGTCTGCTTTTCTTTCTAATACTGGCATTTCAGCTGTACCTACCAATGAAGCAAACGTCCCATCAGCGAATAAAACGATAAACATGGTTCACACACACATCAACCTCCCCCCACCCAATCTCCCAGGGTGGCTTTCACTTGTCTCTGTTGTGTTGTACAGTTTTCTATTCAGTTCACAAAACAAAGGAATCTGTCCTCACCTTTCCGTGTGAGATATTCTGCCACCAAGGCTGTTACGTGGACATAACACATTGCTGCCTAGAATAAAAGACAGGGCTCAGAATCAGTTTACAACGGCGTGTCACAAAGCTCACAGACAAAAATCTATGCGACTCATAATTACAATGAAATCTCAAGGCAGCAACTATTTGCTGTTTGTAATATCTGATCTTAACATTGAAAAAAAGTGGAACCGCTTGCATAAACTCAGGTTTTGAAATCGATTTGGAATTGAGACAAATTTCAGCCTTATTTCTATTTAGAATTACTAAAATTTAATGTAGGGGCCAGCATTTGGTATGGTGGGTAAAGCCACCACCTGCAATGCCGGCATCCCAGGTGGGCAATGGTTCAAGTCCTGGCTGCTCCACTTCCAATCCAGCTCCCTGCTAATGGCCCGGGAAAGCAGTGGCAGATGGCCCAAGTGCTTGGGTCCTTGTCACCAACGTGGGAGACCCGGAAGAAGCTCCTTGCTCCTCTCTTCAGCTTGGCCCAGATCTGGCTGTGGCAGCCATCTGGAGAGTGAACCAGTGGATGCAAGATCTGTCAACTCTGACTTTTAAATAAATAAATAATGAATCTTAAAAAAATTAACGTGAAAGATAACAAGAGCATTTTTCCTCTACAAGCACCAAAGCTTTCTGTATCATTTTTCTAACTGTGAAAACAGAACCGTTTGGGGAAAAGGTGTGCTTTCCCCGGGATTCTGAGAGAAAGGCTCACATATCAAGTGCTGTTATCTTCTTCATTTAATTAAGAAAAATGAAGCTATATCTTTTCCAAACATACAATTCCAAAGAAAAGTCCTAGTTCAACACTATCTATACCTTAAAATAAAAGAGAAAATAAAAACAATCTTTTTTCACCAAGAAGTCACGGTGTTAGAAAAATCAGAGACAACTGCAGGCAGTGAAGCCACTGTACGTTTCAGCGCATGAGGGCCTGTCTTCAGCAGGTGTATGGCCACCACCACACGGTGCCCTTGCCCCAGATCTCACCCTCAGGGAGACAATCTAGCATGCAGGGGCCCTGTGATGTACCTGCATGTGGGAATACACGTCAGTAGCAAAGTACGCACCCTGATGAGAGTCTTCCCAGAGCACAGCAGGAGAGGCACACAGACATGCGATGGCTCACACAGCAAGTACACAACAACGGACGTGATTGGAGCAACAAGAAGTCTTGCAAGTTCGCTGCTACAGCACCCTTATTTACAGAGCATACTAGGTTGGTTGGTGTCTCTCTTAAATTCACATTTTTCTTGGGACTTCACAGAATGTGACGTTATTGGGAAATAGGCCCTTTATAGACGCAATTAGTTAATATGGGGTCACACTGGTGCAAGGTGGGCCCTAATTTCAACATGACTGTGTCATAATAGGAGAAGAGACACAGGACCCAGACACGTGAGGAAGGATGCCACATGACAATGGGGACAGGGTCTGAGCGGCTTGTCCACAAGCTGGAGAACATGCTTGCCAGTGACACGGGAGCTACAAGTAGGGCAATAGGCAGGTTCTCCCCTAGAAAGTCCAGAGCACGGCGCCACCAGCACCTTGATTTTGGATTTCCAGCCTCCAGAGCTGTGAGAGACTATGTTTCTGTTGTTTCACACCATCCAGTCTGTGCTACTTTGTTATGGTGGTCACAGGAAACTAATAGACAGGGGAACAACTAAGCTGAATGGGCTGTCTTTTTCAAAAAAGAGTCCTGGGCCATACAAATTATTTTTAAAAGCTTAATTCTGAGAATAATAGAAAAACTGCTATGGTTAACACCACCACCACCACTATTTCTTTTTCATTATGGCTAATGTATAGGTTAGATCAAATTCATGTTCAAACAGACTTGTCATGTACACGTCTTTTAGCACACTGGGCTCCTTGAATAGTCAATATACAAAAATAGTCACCTAGATCTTTTACACTTAGAACATAATCTTACTAGTCACAGAAGTTTCTAAGTCCTCACATGCTTGCTTTAGTAATGTTGATTATACCGACATGTCTCAGGCACAAAACCCAGACAGAGCACTCATGGGAATGCAGAATCGGCCTTAGAGACCTCCCCATTTTACAAACGAGGCCCTCAAGGCACAGAGGGGTTGAAAACGGGCTCAGGGTCACAGAATAGAGCCAATGTTGGGTCCTGGATTCACAGCCTGTCTGCAGCCCACACGTCCATCTCCCAGCCACCCTGTCAGCTCTGCACAGAAGGGAACACCCACTAAAGCAAAGGGACACTCTCAAACAAGGAGACAGTGCTGCCTTATAATCACATCAACAGCAGGAAAAATTAATTTTCTCCTAAATAGCTGAATTTTTTAAATAGGAATGTTGATGCAGAAACAATTTACACTTTAATTGGTAGGCAATTATTTCAGGATGTATAATCTTAGGAACTTTCAAACAATGCTCCTTTGTGATAGAAATATCCTTTATAATCCGATTTAAATTATGAAAATGTTCGGATAACTATGAAGGCACCTTCTGAGCCCAACACTGTTTAAGGTGTTGCAGAGTTTGCTGTTTTGTCTTTCCTTCCACTCACTGCCTCACAGCTCTGAAACAGTTGAGTAAGCAGCCTAGTTGTTACCTAAGACATCTGGTTTGAGTTCATTTTTTAATGTTATTATTATTTTAATAATGTATTATTCTAATTATTTGAAAGGCAGAGAGACAGACTGACAGACAGACTCAGAGCTCACATCTGCTGGGTCACTCCCCAAATGCCTGCAATGGCCAGGGCTGGGCCGGGCTGAAGCCAAGAGCTGGGAACTCAATCCACAACTCCCACATGGGTGGCAGGAAACAAAACAGCCATCACATTTGTCTCCCAATTTGCATTATCAAGAAGCTGGAATAAGGAACAGACACGGGACTCAAAACCAGGTACTCAGATATGGGATGTGGGCGTTCCAAGCAGTGTCCTAACCACTATGCCAAATGCCCATCCTTGTTTTTCAATTAAAAACATCTGTGGATTAACATGGACTAGCAGTGCACTTTTATGGGGTGTGGCGCAACATTTTAATGCATGTATATAAAATGATCAAATCATACAATCAGCATTTCCATTTTCTTATCTTTCCTTTATGTTTGGAGCCTACCAGCTCCTCTCTTGCAGTTCTTTCAACTGTCTATACCACATAATTGTGAACTATTAATTGGTATCTTTTGACTCGTGGGACAATTCTCAAAACTGGTTATTTTCCGTGAATGGAGCATAACTGGTTTTCTCAAAAACCTGGAAAAGAGGCTGGCAGAGCTACCTCGGAGAGATCCCCGTTTTTGACATGGATCCTGGCCATGCTGTCGAGCCACGTCTTCCTGAGCTCAGGGGTGCTTGCGTAGGACTTGGCCAGGCTGTACTGCAGGTCCACCAGCATCTCCGGGTCATTCTCGTGCTCCTTCATCTGGGCCGTGGCCATCAGGACCGTGCGTATCCTCTTGGTCAAGTCCTTCACGTCCGAGGAGAAGCTGGTGTGCTGAAACGAGGGTGAGAGAAGGAAGGGCGCGTGGCTTTCACCTGCCTTCTGCCTGTGCTCACGCGATGAGGCAGAGTGCTGGGGGCCAAGATTAAAAGGGGCCACCCACCTTGATGAGCCGGTCACTATTGGCACAGTTGTTGATGATGGACAAGGACTGCTGGAACCGGGTTCCTCCAATGCCTACGACGTCTGCTATCAGCTGGCTGACAGAAATAATGACCTGGGCACACACAAGCAGGAGCAAGTCAACCCACCTGCAACACCTGCTGAGGCTCAGCTCCTGTGTTGGGTTGGTTTGGGCAGGAGGACTGGGCAAAGGAGGGAAGATCTGCACAGGGATCACTCCAGTGCAGGAGTGGTATCTGAGCATATTTTTCCCTTTCAGGAGCTATTCCGGAAGGTGATTTTTGATAAACTTAAGAAGTTCATTTCTGCCAAGCAAAATGCTTGTCAGTAGAGTACAGAAGAATGAGAAATACATAATCCTTATCAACTAGAGATATCACCTAACACTGTCTCCAAAGACAGACCTGACTATACCTGGTCTTGTATCAATTAAATACTCAACAGTCCCATTTTTATTAGAAGGTGTACATGTTAACTATGCAACGAGGAAATCTTCTTTGGGTCTATGAATAGCACCACCTTGAGTCGCTTGGGCTAAAACACTCGTGCCTCCTCCTCTTCCTTAACCACACTCAGGTACAGTCAGTCCCCAAGTACTGTCAACTCTCTCTCCTCTTCCTACTAACCTTATCATCACTGGTCCAGGACACTGTCCTTTCTGTCCCAGATTTGACAACTGTCTCTCTAGGTGAGACCTATACTCCCCTACTCCTTTCTCAACTTGGGGGCCCAGAGGATTCCTCCAAATGCACAAAGATGTTCCCTCTCAACTTGTTGTCATCTATACTCTAAATTCCACACTAAGGAACACCTCCAGCTCCCATGACAGCTGTTCCCCTGGCCACACGCCTGTGACAAGCTCACCATTCTGCAACTGCTAGCTCCTAGTCATCCCCCTCGTCCCCTGGGAGCCTCCCTGGCCCTCATGTGATTCACACTCTTCCTCTTCCCACACAGTCAGAAGACAGAGAAGAACCACTGTGGGGTTTCTGTCTCTTACACAAGATGTTTACTAGTAAGCATCGGTTCTACTCCTTCTTGATAAAATGGCATTTCAGTTAGTCCGATACTGAATCAATACTGAAGTGTCAATTCACAACAGTGCATGAAATCAACCAAGCCAGCTAGGCAGGACCTCCTGACGTTCATCCCAGGGTCAGGTCCTGCAGTACTTATGAGGAAGCAGGTGAATGGGACAGCCAGCTTTCCCCGCAGAAGTGGGATTCCCCAGGGCAAGTCCGTATTGGAAGGCCGGCCCACACGCACCTGCAGGTGTGTCCGGACAAAGGACTTCTTTCCAGTGTAGTCGAAGTTGTTCCTCATCAGGAAGTAGAGCAGCTGGGAAGCCTCGGTTCGGATGGAGCTCAGCTTGGAGTTGCAGCACTTGAGAATCTCATAGCACAGCGCGGCGCACATGTCCGCCCGCCCTTCATAGAACGTCGAGGGGAACTAGAAAGAGCAGGAGGCGGCAGACGAGCGCAGCAGGGTCAGTGCTCAGCGGCGTGCCCTAACCCCTGGGGGCCGACGGTCAGCGCTCCGACCTCACCAAGGAAGCAGCTTACCTTATAGATCAGCGACCGTAAGGCAGTGAAGACGTTTTTCAAAGCTGTTTCAGACTGATGCTTTTGAAGAAAACACAGGTAGACGTCGAACACTTTTTTCATGAGAGGATTATGGCCGTGGTCAGCCAAGAGCTGGTTCTTAAAACACACATGGACAGCCCCATTAGTGAGACAGGCCACATACATCCAGGCTTCAGACAATTTTCCAGATAAAGGATTTCATTTTCCAAGCATTAAGGACAACTTCAAATTTTAACAAACTCTGCCGTGAGTCCCCTCACAAAGGACGGAATTCTCTTGCAAGACAAATCAACTTACACTTTGGGAATAAACGTCCCAGCAAACTGTAATAAAGGGCCACTATTTGTTTGGTACCAATTGGGCTTCTATTATTTTGCTTATTTTGACTTGACACTAGCAACTGGTACAAGGGTGATGTTTGTGACATCTCAGTTCCCACAGAGAAATGTCACTACAGGCATTAGTTGATGTGCAGGGGAAAAAAAGAAAGGTATGTGAAAAAGGTCCTCTAAGGGGGTAGTGAGGGGTCCCTTCAGCCTGCCTTCTCAGGCACTCGACACTAAGCTCTGAGTACCCAGCTGGGTACGGTCAGGCGCTGCACAGGTGAACTGGATCTTGGCATTCTCGTCCGTGAAACTGACCTTGCACAGCTACTGTGAAGAATCGAGGTTAAGTGTAAAACGCCTCGCTCAGCTCGGCAACGATAGCCAGTAGGATTTAACATCTCATGCATTTCATTTAAACAAACCAAAGGACTGTAATGAAATGCTTCCAGTCATCCTGTTACATTTCCTCAGTTAAGCACAGAATTCACGCCAGTTAAGCACTCTGGAAGCCCAGCCAGCTAAAACTCTTCAGCTGCTAAGAACACACAGCAAACAGAGGTACACCCAGGAAGAAACGTAGCCAACAGAGCCTAGCAAGAAGCCCACCTGGACCTTCCTGTCCAGATGTGCATGGAACCACAGAGTACTTGAACAAAGACAACTTATGGCCAAATAATCTTGAGGCAGGAAATCGTGGTTGGAAGCATAGTTTCGGAGTGAATTTACCGCATCTTACTGCGAGGGGAATTTTGACTCAAGGAATGAGGTCTAGTGAGTGCAGATGTAACACAGCTGGCAGAATACCTGGAATTCAGTGACCTCTGTATCATGACATACACGGGTACCACACTGAATACCATCGTGTGAAAGAGGAGCAATCTAATGAGCAAGAAATGTCACGAGGTAAATGAACATGGTGTCCTTCTTAACCATGAGCAGCTGTTCACTAAGAAAAAGACCACGTTTGGGGAACTGCTTACAAGTTTCGTTGTCTGTGAGCACCATTTTTCTCCAGTCTGAAAGCCTTGCTTTTCACAACGCATTTGCTTCGCTAATGACGCAGGTCTAAGGCTCGGGAGAATCTGGAATTGACCTTTCACCCCTCAGCACTCTTTGCTGGAGCTACTCAGGAGAGGCAGTTCCTACCTAAATCGCCAAGGTCCCCAGTCCTGCTGTCTGAACTGACCTCTTGAATTGACGTTCTTGAGTTAAATGTCTCCTTCTTTCCCTCTCTGGGGTCAAGATTTTCCCTTTTCATTTTCAGGACTTAGTACTCTTGGGCGTGATCTCAAAGCCTGCTTGCAAAATGGAGCTAAAACTTGTTTACACGAGATGCAAATAGTCCCTCACATACAGGGGGAGCTGTGTACCAGCTACCTTCCTTTATTTTCCAACTGGTTTTCTTCCCTCTTTCTGAGTTTCTCTGTTGAGCCAAACAAAAATCACCTTTCACTTGTCCACTCAGAAATAATCACAGAGAAAGTATTAGTGTATTTAATTTCTACCATTTTATCCCTACAGTGTCTCACGGAGGATAGGAACGTTTCATTCAGGAAACTGAATGAGAAATTAGAATACTATGAAGGCACGATTTATTTACAGCAAGAAGGCGAAGTCTAATTCTCCAGGGGCTATCTATCATGGATTCGGGTTTCACTGTTGTAATGCAGTCTCTCACAGTGCTGAGCCCAGGAAACAGGTCTTCTGGGGCATGAATGCTCGAGACCAGTAACTTCTAAAGATACCAGAACAGAGGAAAACAAACTGCAATCCTGGGTGCCAAATGAGACATCTGGACAAAGATATCGGAGACAGTCAAGTATTTCCAAGGCATAAGGCGTTCATCTCTATGTAGACATCGATCTAAACACAGCTTTGAAGAATTCAGGCTGGAGAGGCGCTGTTTTAGTGGCAGATGTGCCAGTCACCGCGATGACCTAAACCTCCTGTGACTTTGCAGACCAGGCTCACAGCTGTGCAAATCAGATCGCAAGCCACGGAGGAAGACCCCAAGTACCCATCCTTTTAGTTCCCACTGCTCTTATGATTATGTGTTAGTTCTCATGGTACAGTTCAAATCACAAAGAAACACTCAACAGCACTGCTGTGTAACTGCTGTTTAACAGCATTGCTATTAGAAAATATTTTCGGCCGGCGCCGCGGCTCACTAGGCTAATCCTCCGCCTAGCGGCGCCGGCACACCGGGTTCTAGTCCCGGTTGGGGCACCGGATTCTGTCCCGGTTGCCCCTCTTCCAGGCCAGCTCTCTGCTGTGGCCAGGGAGTGCAGTGGAGGATGGCCCAGGTGCTTGGGCCCTGCACCCCATGGGAGACCAGGAAAAGCACCTGGCTCCTGGCTCCTGCCGTCAGATGGGCGCAGTGCGCCGGCCGCAGCGCGCCGGCCGCGGCGGCCATTGGAGGGTGAACCAACGGCAAAGGAAGACCTTTCTCTCTGTCTCTCTCTCTCACTATCCACTCTGCCTGTCAAAAAAAAAAAAAAAGAAAAAAAAGAAAAAAAAGAAAATATTTTCAGATCAAATTTGTGAACACATTACAAATATAAAAATAGTTAGAGGAGCAATCTAACTAGATTGCTATCTGTTAGCTCTATCTAGATCTAATCTAGGTGAGCTCATCCAGATAACTTGAGATTGTCTCATCTCTCTTGTGCCCATGTGTGCACACACACACACACACACGTACCCTTCCCCAGTAGAGAATAAGGCCTTTGGATAGGCCAATTGTAGTAGTGATCTTGGGCAAATTTCCTAATCCATCTCAGCCTCAGTTTGCTCATCTGTAAAGTGGGACATAAGCCCTACCCGGGGGGCTGCTGTGAACATTACAGCCTGAGGCACGGAAGTTCTCAGGAAACAGGAGATCTAACACAAGAATAATATTCAGGCTTCAATAGGGTGTAGGGTGTAGATCTTGCCAAACTTCCCTCTCACTAAGAAACTGATTGTCTTTGGCAACTTATTACGGGAGGCCAATTACGACATGTCAGTAGTCAGCGTGCTCCATCCGTGGCAGACACTCGGATGTTACAGCTAACTCTTCGCTACACTCTTTCTGATACGCCCCATGCCCCCATGGTGCCCCAGCAGTGGCTGCGCCAGGGGCCTCTGAGCCAGGAGAGCCCGCAGTGCCATCTACCCTGACATTCGGTCAGGCCACAGCACCTTCCGCCTGCCCAGCTCTCCACGTCTTGGGGGTGCTGAGCGCTGCATGTCAGCTTTGCACACATGGCTACCAGCTTTGACAGAGATCAGCTAGCTCTTCCCTGGGGTCTCGGGGATCGGACCCTTTGCCACATTTGGGTCCCTGCTGTGGTATAGACCCAGGGCAGCTGTTTCTGGATACGTCATCCCAGTCCACGCATACCTTCACTTCAGGCAGGAGGCCAGGCTGCACATGGTAGGTAAGGCAGTCAGGACTGAGAGGGACCAAGCAGATCCAGCCCAGGGCTGAAACACAGGCTGTGGGTGGGCTTCAGTCCACGGGAGCTCCCCCGCCACTCTGAGGGCACTGAGCCTGGACAGACCAGCAATGCAGACGGCCCTTCGAGGCTCACCCCACTCAAAATTCGCAACAGTCCTGTGAGGTCCATCTTATGTTTCAAATAGTAAGATAAGAAACCTTAGGTCTGGAGACTTCCAGTCCAGAAATATCACAGCTTCTCATCAGAACCATAGGTTGCTGTTTCTCGGGTGTCAGAACCTACCTGGTAACTGAGTGTCTGGAGATCCGGGAACCCTGACAAGTGCCCTGCTTTAATACTGAGTAAGAAACTTAGACGGGGCTGGACGAGCCCTGCGGCTGTTCAGTGGACACACGCTCCTTTGACAGGGGCCGCACCCGTGCTGCGTGGGACACGCCCCAGCCCCTCCCCTCCAGAATTTCCCACTTATCCACATAGCAGGACCCCGGCAGAGCGCGGAAGAGAGAGCTCTACTGTTGCTCTAAGCTTAAGCATTTGTGTCTGGCACTGACACAGGTGTGCGTGACCAAACATGCATACAGAAAACCTCCCCTGCCGGTTCACACGGGGATTTGCAACTACAACGAAAGCAAGCAGGCAGACAGAGGCTTTCCGACCTCTTCCATAGCTCTAGTAGACTCCTAGCTTCCAAGTCGTGGCGTTGGGGTCTCAGATCAGCTTGGGATGCGGCAGGCCTGGGCTAGGACCTGACAACCTCCATTTCTGCCAGTTTCCGGAGGCTGTGGCTGCCGTGAAAGCCGCTCCGGGGAGGCTCCCGGAAGACGACGCTGCCGCCTCCGACTCATGCTAGGAGGGGTCGTCGGTCCCCGCCCTCACCCGGGTTCCTTCCTAGTGACAGGAGGTGCAGGGCGCTGCTGCCAGGGACACACAGCTGTATTCTAGTAAAGCGACACTGATAGCACGGTGACTACTTCGGTTCTCCTTGAGAAAGAAATGTTGCTCAGGATAGCAGAGGTAAGTAGGCTAAGGGAGGCTTTAGGGGCACGTTCCAATTGCCCCTGGCAATAACACGCTGTTTCAACACTCCAAGTCCACTGGCAGCACGTCAGTTTGCCCCTCCATGCTAGAAATGGAAGCGATCACTCAGCAGAAGGGCAAGTGTCAGGTTCCTGAACACCCGAGAGTGGCTCACCAGTCCAGCGTCACCTGCGTGCGTATCACTCGCTAAAATGCAAAACAAGACCAGAAAACCTGCCTTCCCTCGTCTGATTCTGAAATGCTTCCACTCAGTAACAGAGAAAACACTGCAGAGAGGAGTGTGTTTGTGTCTCCTGCTCCTCTCTCCATAAATACCTGATTTTAATTTGGTATCCCGTTGGGCTATGCTTACAGCTGCTCCCGGCAGGCATGCCTGACTAGGCTCCTGCACTGATCATCCCCCAGGGGGGAGCAAACCCTGCTGTCCCCTGGGGGATGCTCTCCCCTAGCCTCGAGCCAGCTGCCTGCAGGGACTGCTCCCACCCCCCTGCGCACACTGACCAGTCTGGCTTTACTGCTGAATGGCACCACTGAAGGAATTTAAAAGTGAATGGCTTTCTTACAGCAGCAGCAACAGTGCAGAACACCAGGAGCGAGTGGGTGAAACTCAGCACGAGTGCTGCTTGATACTCACCTTGAACGCCAGCGTGAACAGGGAGAGCGTGTCCAGAGCCGTGAGGCAAACCTCAGTGGCGATGTTGGCTTCGAGCAGGGACTGGTGGAGGACGTCCGCATCTGAGTGGCCGTAGCCTGCGTGAGTCACAACATGGGGTTAGCGGCCACGGTCCAGACAGCGAGGCCGGCGGCACAGGAGAGCCACAGTCAACTTTTGAGTATGCACAGAAGGCCCACTTCGGGGCCCCGTCTCCCTGTTTGTGTTCTGTGTGGGAAGAGGGGTGTTAATGTTCCCAGCCAGGGAGAACTGTTCTCCAACTCCGCAAGGATGAGCACAACAGGAAGGCGCGCCGTGCGCTCGCCCGCGGCGGGAACCCTCTGCCAGCGGCTCCTCTTAATCCCAGCAGCCCTGTGCGGGACGTGTGTCACTGGGCCCCTTTCACAGGTGAGGAGGTGAAGGCACAGAAAGACTCTGCATTTTGCCTAAATTCACACAGTTGGTACACCGTGGAGCCAGGAATTGCACTAAGACAGGCACCGTGCACTTAGCTACTTGACTAAGCGGTGACAACGGTGGCAATGCGGAGATTTCAGGGGCTTTGCATACACGCAGATGCAGCAACACAGCTCTGGGGCTAAGAAAATGGGTACATCGCTTCTCAGCCTTCTGTCTAAGATCAGGTGTAATGGCTATCAGGGGCCAGCGCTGTGGTGCGGCCAGTAAAGCCACCATCTGAGACACCAGCATCCCATGTGGGTGCCGATCCAGGTCCCAGCTGCCCTACTTCTCATCCAGCTCCCTTCTAATGGCTTGGGAAAAGCAGAAGATGGCCCTAGTGCTTGTCACCCATGTGGGATGAAGCTCCTGGCTCTGCCTTTGGATTGGCCCATCACTGGCAGGTGTACCATCTGGAGACTGAACTAGTGGATGGAAGGTATCTCTCTCCCTCTCACCTCTGTTTCTCCTCTCTTCTCTCTCTCTTGCTTTCTATAACTCTTTCAAATAAATAAATCTTAAAAGAAAAAAAAATAGGCGTGAACCCAGTTCTGCCACTCACTAGCTGTGTAACCTCGGCAAGTTACTTGGCCTCTTCCTACCCCTGCTTCCTCATCTGTGGAACGGGGACAGTAACGGTGTCCACCCCAGAGGGCTGCGGTGAGGATTAAACTCAGCAGTGTTTGGGAAGCCGAGTGCCTGGTACAGGGAGTGCTAAAGTAGTCCATCAATACATCAAGATCTGTACTGCCGTCTGTGACCAGGGGAGATACTCAAGAGTTGACTGTGCTGCTCGTATTCTCTTTGCTTGAATTAAAAAGCACAAAAGCCAGTATGTCTGAGAGAAGTGTTGGAGAAGAGAAAAGGCCTTGAAGGATCTGTCATGTAAATTTAGCTTCATCACACATAATGCAGATACAAACTGAAGTCTTCTACATGTGACTGCAAAATCACTTTAGTGCTGATATAAATGCGGTAGACACGCAAGTTGAGAGAGTAGGTTATGAAATGAATGGCAGCAGCAGAAGTAGGCACAGGGATGCAAAGGTGTTACAGTGCCGGTCCAGACGACGCGGGAGGAGGGTGACGGAGTAAAATCCACGAAGGTCTTTCTCCAAGGAGCACAAATGATCCAACACTTACTCCTCGGGGAATAGGCGTTTTCTTAATGCTCCAGAGAGGGAGACGTTTTGTAAACGAATCAGGAAAATGAAGTACACAGGACCTATGGGTTTCCGAGACCAGTACTGGGGAATAGCAGAAGCTACACTTCAAATTCCTTATCCGGGTCCTTGTGCTGTAGTAAAGAGTAACTGGCATGAAGCCACTCTGACTTCTGTAAGTGACACAATTACAGAATGGCTTCAGAAGGCTACAAGAGAGATTTTTAGAGCTACAGGTGTGCTTTTCAAAATACAGTAAAACCCTGTTACATGCTTTTATCAAGCTTTGCCTTGCTTTTAAAAAGGTGAGTCTGATGTTTTGTGTCTGTGAGGTCCCATTACTTTCACTGTGTCTCTCTTTGGTGAGGATGTACAAGACATTTGGCACCATGCTGGTTCTATGTTTGTTTGTTTGTTTGCTTTTTGGGTAAGAGGCTTCCCAGAGAAAGGACAGAGGGAGAATTGGGGGCATTACGTTAATTGCACTGCCTTTATGTGAGGCAAGGCATTGTTTCATTTGGGGAGGTTTGCTTGGTAAGATATGGAGGCAATGAAAGAGGAAAACAGATTGATGATTCCTGTTATACTGATCACAAACAAGGAAGAAGGAATAAAAGATTCAACACCTGTTATTAGACCAACCAACATTTCTCAGAAGTCAAAGGACCCTTTACTGAGGCTGCCATGAACTCCAAATAGGTTTAGTGTGGGTTACGTTTTAACAAGGAATTAGCTTTAGTGATGACTTTTAATTTCTTTCTCTGAACAGAACTGCCCCTTTCTCTTTCTAGAAAAGTCATTAGTTCCATGTGCCCAGGTGATCACTATACCTGAGGTGGCTTGCACAGTGAAGAATCCCCACAGAATTCACTCTCTCCTGGCTGAAAGCCTGGAACCGTTCTAGGAACAGAATCTGGCCACATGCTTTTAAAAGGATCCTATCTGAGTGCTGGTTAGAGACCTGAGCTCTCCACTTCTAATCCAGCTCCCTGCTAGTGCCCCTGGGAAGGCAGCAGAAGATGGCCCAAGTACTTGGACCCCTGACACCCATGAGAGACCTGGATGGAATTTGGGCTCCTGGTTTTAGTCTTGCCCACGGCCCTGGCTGTTGCAGCCATCGGGGGAGTGAAACAGCAGATGGAAGATGTCTCTGTGTCTGTCTCCCTCGCTCTCTGTAACTCTGCCTTTCAAATAAATAAATCTTTAATATATATATAATTATCAATACGTTATGCTAATTAAGTTATTCTATAATTATGCATGCAGGTGTAGAAATGCCATAATGTAAAAATTCTCTAAACTACTACACCACCCATAAGCCACTACACCACCTCTCTAATCTTCATGATAACAGGAGGATTCATATAAAAATCTCTCTGCCTTTGTGTCATTTACGATTCTAAAAGAAACTATTCTTCTTGCTTCTCCTAAACTACTTCACGTCAAAAATCTGCAGGATTCCTGAGCTAGTCTTATTTTTTAAAAATCTCTAAAAATAAACGGCAGCACAGAGAGGCACCGTAAGGCTGAGACTTTGTGTCTCAGCACTGGAGCAGAGCTGAGCACACCGGAGGGCTGCAATCCCGTTCACCGGTTACAGGAAAATGCGGCTGAGCTGGTAAACCCAAGAAGGGCATCTCAAGAGCCAAGAACAGTCTTAAACTCAGGGTCAGTAACTGTGAAATCAGGTTAAGCAGTTTCTGACCCTGAAGGAGTGTGGTGTAAACCATCCTGATGTCCGCCAGGGGGCAGTGGTGCTTTGAACTGCCTCCAAGAGCCCCGGCACTATTGAGAGCTGGGAGCAGCTTCCAGGGCTTCTGGAATGCACGCTATTGGTTGCCAAGAGGCCTTAGGATGCACTCACTGTTCAAGGTGATACAATTTTCAATCTACTGTCACACTGACAAAAAAACTTATTCCAAAACCCCCAAATCTGTTAAAAACTCAGGGACCACAGATGAGATTCACTGAGTTTTCTTTCATCTGCTATGAATACATTTAATTAACCTTATAAGGTTAATTAACCTAATAAGTTCAGGTTAGCCGAGTAGTCCAACTGAACACCGCTTACTACATCTGTAATGCCCCCACCACGGCATCCGTGGAGATGTGGTGAGCAGGACTGAAGCCGGGTCACGGCCACACATCTTTTTGGAAGGTCAGAAGAACCAGGTAGAAGAACAAGTGAGGTGCACATTCCCATACGAGGGGCTTCCATTTTGACAGCTGCCCTCCAACTGCTATGAAACCAAACCTACTGGTTGCATTTTTGCTTCTTTCCTATGGCCCACACTATCAATCCAAAGAAATACAAAGTTTCCTGGGAAAATATAAATACTGAACGGCAAGGAGCCTTCTCCCTGAGAGAATGCGCCCCATGTAGGAGACCTGGTCTCCAGATGGTTCACCCTGGTGCACCGCTTCCCTAAGAGCAAACAGTCAGGCAAAACGTCCATCTGATCACCTTCCGTGTGGCCCACTGATCATTTCCATCCATTTTACTGTTGAGGATGGGCAGGGGGCAGAGTAGGACAAGGAATACCCCAGGGCAAAAACCATGCACTTTGCTATCTGACCCCCGGTTCACACACGAAGGAAGCAAAGGTGTTCAGAGGGCTTTGAGGACACGGCGTGTAACACTCTGGGGTATGGAGTCACCGGCCCTCCCCCTCTGTGGGCACACGTGTAACACTCTGGGGTATGCAGTCACACGGCTCTCCCCTCTCTGTGAACACACGTGTTAACACTGGGGTATAGAGTCACACGGCTCTCCCCTCCCTGTGGAATGCTACAGTGTCGAAAATGGTACCCAGCATGAGAGACAGACCTCTCTAACTGTGGAAACACTTGGTTTATACGTGTCATCTTCAAGGACATTAAAATGAATGGCTTTGGGGCCAGCACTGTGGCACAGTGGGTAAAGCCACCACCTACAGTGCTGGCATCCCATGTGGGCACTGGTTCGAGTCCTTGCTGCTCCACTTCCAATCCAGCTCTCTATTATGGCCTGGGAAAGCAGTAGAAGATGGCCCAAGGACCTCTGCATCCACGTGCGAGACCAGGAAGAAGCTCCTGGATCCTGGATTTGGATCAATGCAGCTCTGGCCACTGCGGCCATCTGGGGAGTGAACCAGCGGATGGAAGACCTCTCTCTCTCTGCCTCTCCTTCTCTCTCTCTGTAACTCAAATAGATAAATAAAACAGATAAATAAATCTGTTTATCAAACAGATAAATAAATCTTTAAAAAAAAAAACAACGAAGGGCTTTATGTGGGCATTGCACCAGACATTCTCGATTCTGAGACTCCATCAATTACAAGAATACCAACCAGATAGACTACTATGTTAAACATAATATGTAAGAGAATCTCCAATCTCAGAAATGCCAGAAAATATGCAAAAATGTCCTAAAATCAAGTAAATATATCTCAGAATCAAGAAAATGTGGGTTTATAAGTAAATAACTTATTTGCCATCTTAAATATATATAAAAAGCAAATAAGCATATTTTACCCAATTTTAAAGATAAATTATCTATGCCTAAGCATGCATTTGCTGTATTTTTTCACATTAAACATTATGTAAAGGAATTTAACTATGACCCGTACTCATCCTCTTACTTGTATTTCACAGATTCTAAAGAATTTCAGAGTTAAACGGGGCCTCACAAGTAATTTTGTCCAAGTCCTCGCAGGCTGCTTAAGGGCCCAGGACTTGTACCCCGCAGGAACTCAGACGTCTCTGCTATCACACCTCCAGGTGCGAGTGCTCACCCCAGTGTCACGTGCAGCCTGCACGCGCCACATGGGGGCAGTTCCCTTAGAAACCGCGTGCCCACACTGACCTGAAGTCAAATGCTCTGTCACTTTAGCCAACGATCTTAAATTGATGCTACACAGAATTGTAAGGAATACAGTATTTTATACAACTCCCTATCCCTCTGCAAGCTTTTCTCCCCGTCATACCTTTGGTAAATATGAATTACAAGCAAATAAATTTAACATATTCCTAGAACAACAAATGACATCAAAGCAAATATGAAGTGTTACTTCATTCTTTGCTTTTTGGAAATTGTATTACTGAGATGCAAGCACACATCACTGAGTTTTCTCCTCATAATGTGGATTATGTATGTTAAATGTAAGCGATCACTCAATATTCCCTGCCTGGTGTGTTTTATTTAATGATTGTGGCTATCACTCTCGGTTCTGCCGTTTCACACAAATCTCTTCTACAGTTACACAATTAGTGACAGCTATGCCAAACAGGCCAATATTTAAAGGTGCCAATGATTTACTTCAGGGAAAACTGAGCAACGACCCAGACAACTCTGTCCTTCAAAAGTGTTTTTCGGCCGGTGCCGTGGCTCACTAGGCTAATCCTCCGCCTAGTGGCGCTGGCACACCGGGTTCTAGTCCCGGTTGGGGTGCCGGATTCTGTCCCGGTTGCCCCTCTTCCAGGCCAGCTCTCTGCTGTGGCCCGGGAGTGCAGTGGAGGATGGCCCAAGTGCTTGGGCCCTGCACCCCATGGGAGACCAGGAGAAGCACCTGGCTCCTGGCTCCTGCCATCGGATCAGCGCAGTGCGCCGGCCGCAGCGCGCCAGCCGCGGCGGCCATTGGAGGGTGAACCAACGGCAAAGGAAGACCTTTCTCTCTGTCTCTCTCTCTCTCACTGTCCACTCTGCCTGTCAAAAAAAAAAAAAAAAAATTTTAAAAAAAAAAGTGTTTTTCGGCACTAAGACTGTTTAGTTACAGTAGGATTTACCATGTTCATGCTATCCTATCACAATAAAGAACAAAGACTTCACCTGTCCCTCCTGGAATTTACATGTACCACCTACACAGTGTTTGTTCCCAAGCCCTACCACTGAAGAGTGCTGGGGACAGCCCGGGGAGCGGGGGGGGGGGGTGCACTACAGGGGGCAAACAAGGGTCTAGGTTTAGGCATGGACCTCTTCTGCCCCCTGCTGGCCACACAGGGGTCTGACAAGGCCTGTGCTAGGCTGAGAAGTGGCAAATGCACATGTACAGAGACTCTTGCCCCTATTTTTACTCTTTTCAGAGATGAATTCATCTTAGACTCTGGGATATCCCTGGGAAGATGTCACATATTTGATCAATGTCATATTGGTTGGCCCAACAGAAGGTATTGCATTCACTGTTAAACACGACTTTTAGGAGAGATATGTGGTCACACAGCTCCCATAAAATATCACTTGTTAGTGTAAACTAACAAGTCTATATTTATATACACGTTCACACGTGTTTACAGTCTACACGCCCTTCAATTTGTGTGTGTGTGTGTGTTTTCGTCTGAGTTTACAAACTGGAAGCTCAAAGAGTTGGCCAGGGGAATGGCTGAAGCCACCCACACACACAATCAGAATCAGAGATGGAAATGAAGGTTGAGTGCTAGGAGCTGATGCAATGACTTAAGAGACATGGGAGCCCACTTGGGATGAGCAGGTGTTGCGGGAAGGCCGGCAGAGGCTGAGAGAATCAGCAACACAGTCTGCTGGCAAGGCAGACACGTGGCTAGGACAGTGCGCCACTGAGAACTGCGAGAGGGAGGTGGGGAGGACAGGGCTCGCTGTGGGCAGCAGGAAGAGAACACGGGAATCCACCACGCTAGCAACAAGGCTCTGGCAGCAGTCCGTGGCCCGCTGTCCTCCTCGGCTCACGCCACGCCTCCCACTCCATCTGTAGTGGGAGGATCTGTGCATATGGGAGTGCACTAAGATGATTTCTCCATGTGTCCTTCACTTTTCTTTTCTGTGTTTCCTACATGATTATCTTTGAAGGTGGGGCTGTGGTCTGCTTATGCTTCAAAGGTTAAGCATTTTTTTCAACTGACAATGAGTTCGATAAATTCTCTGGGCAAAGTGAGTGCAGCAGCTCCAGCATATCACTGGGGACAGAATTTCTTTTGCTAAACAGGAAATGAAAACTAAAAATAACAAAACCCTCTTTGTGTTTGTTTCTTGTCTGCAGAGCCAGAAAAAGCTCCAACAGAAAAGACATGGGATAATCCAAGTACTGGAGCCTTCAATATGTTACAAAAATGTACATTCTGTAGCTAAGTATAGACCTAAGAACCAGCATTTTAAGGTTACCAATTGAGTGTGTGGCATACTGACATCATATTGGTTTAAATGAAGCCTAGAATCTTATAAAGAAAGGCTCTCCCCATTACATTTAACCTCGTTGGACTGGGAGAACGGGAAGCTGCTGTGTTTTGATTCCTCAGCTATCGTCCTTTGAACCATAATCTATATGAGACAGTGGAAATGCTGTCTTTACTCTTAGCCAGTATCAAGGAGGAGGTGTGGAAATCACAGTGAATGGAGTTCCTATGATTAGCCATGATGGAAGATATTAATAACTATGCATTAGCAACAGTTCTTGGAATGAGAACAAACAATTGTCTGGATAAAACATTAGCCACGTCATGCTGGGAGAGGAGATGGAACAACTACCAGATGAACGCCACCAGAAATGGGACTGTTATAAATGATCATGGACTTTGTCACGTGCTGTACAGCTCATATCTATTAGGTTTTCTTCTTTGAGAAACCCTTGGCAGGATGGAACAAGTAAGTTTCTAGAAACAGCACACGTCACCATGTCCCCTCTGGTGACTGATCAAAGTAAATTAAAAATATGCTCCCCTGTTTTGGCAGAACTTCTACTGTGAAGTTAGAAAGCCCCAAAGTTAGGAAGGCGAGATGAACACAGAGGTCTTGGTTTGCAAGTGAAGCGGCCTCGTAAGCAGACTTCAACCTGATTAAATCTTACCATTGTCTACAGAAATTCCAAGCACACTTGATATCTTTCTCACACTGAAAACACAGAAAAAGTCACTTCGTTATTGGACGTTTTCCACACCCTCACAAGTCGATTCACAGGCTGGACGTTCTCGCAGCCGCGTTAACACTTGTTCAGAGCGGGAATGTCAGAATGTGGACACTCGGTCAATTACACGCACAGGATCAGGAGGGCGCGAGGAATCTGATCGAGATATTCTCAGGAATTGCTGCTACAGGCTACAAGCCACAGACCCCAGCGTTGCCTTTAAAAGACGGGAGCACGTCTGGCTGTGGGCCCAGCTCAGGTTTGCTGGGCACGGGGCAGGGGTTCAGCACTTTCAGGCTTTCGCTGCAGTTGACCGTGTTCCACGTTGTGGCATTCCCACGTGTAAGGACTCTCCTCCAAGGAGAGGGACTGTGCCATGAGCTCTTCATCCTACGTTTCTGAGCTGGAAGAAAAACTGCGTTGGTGACGTGGTGCGGTGTGGCCGGGGCTCGCCCCTCTGAGATGGCACAGAGATGCTGGCTGTTACGATGGGATGTCATGGGACTTACTGTGGTTAAAAGTGAGAGAGTTATCCAGGCTGCCCAGCTGCTGCAATCTGGCATGCACCATTCCTGTTCTGTTACGGGAAACAGGCAATGTCTGAGACTTTCGATCATGAACTATGGGTCCCAACCCCTCCTGGTTCCTGCAACATGAGTGAAATGGGGATAGAAGCAAAAGTTAGACGTGTTACACGCAGCGACACGGCGAGCGTTAGTGAAGCCAGGACATGGCGCCAAGTAGACAGGCCACGTACTGACTAAGCCCAGCAGGGCAGCCAGAGACACACACGGGCAGCAGCTCGCACAGTGTTCACAGCAAAGCACCTGATGATGAAGAAGCAAAAATCACGCCAAAGCAGAGAACTGTTCACGTTCGGAAGTTACTCTGGAGACGCCACTTTTAAGAAGGCGCGCATCACTTCAAGGTGCTGCTACAGGTTAGTGTTCTGACAACTGTCACAACGTCACAAACCACTTTGAATTACACGTTACAGAAGAGCAAAAAAAAATATTTTTTTTTCTAATCAAAAAACACATAGGAAGAAACACAGAACAAACATGCAGTGGGAGGGATTATATGAGGCAGTTTTTAACACCTTTATTCTTACCCAAGCAGGAAGGAGAAGAGCCACACACTTTGTTAAACTTGTCAGCAGTCAAGTAGAGAAAATAGAAAAGTGATTTGGGTTAGCAATCAAACAGCTAACTTCCTACTGTGTACCATCACCAGAGCAGATGGGAAATGAGACCAGTGCTGGAGTGACACCTGTCCCCCGTCCCGGAGCCAACGGTTCCCCTCGTTGTGTTATTGTGTGTAGGGGGACAGGGGCATGCATGGACTATCATCGACAGCATGCTGCTGGGTGATTTCAAAGTGACAATGAGAAGGCACAGTGTTCAAACAACCGGATCACCGTGGAATGGCACACACTGACGACATTCACATTTACAGTTCAGGATCTTTGTCACATGCAGCAAGAGACCGTGGCAATTTTTGAATAGAGCAGGGCACATCTTTTCACAGTGCAAGGAGCAAAGTAACAACATCTCCGCTCGAATCCTCCTCTGCCCGTCTATGTTTAAGGCAGTCCACAGTTTTACATGCAAATATATACAGGGTGCTTATGAAGTTGGAAGATTTTCTTAAAATTTTTTTAAAATTTATATCCCTTATCGGGGGGTAGGGAGAATAAGCCAATCACTCCACAAAACCCATTTTAAAATATTTTGTCAGTACAGAAATCTTCAGCTTCCCACATTCACCATTTTCAGCTCAAAAGCTCAAAAGCTTGGCACCAACTCCCCAAATGCCATCCCATGATGCAGGCGGCAGCTACTGCACAAAGGCACGCAGCTCTCGAAGCCTTTCCTATCCCAAACACACTGTCGGCCATCTCCAGGGAGCAAAATCAAAGTGTGAATGTGAGACTTGAATATAAAGACACCTTGTATACAGTTGCATTTGGTACTGGAGAACTCAAACGCAAATCACTGATCACTGTTGTGATGAAAAATAAAACCGTTAAGATCAGAGAACTTTAAGTGCTCTTACATCTCAATTAAAAATGGAAAATATTAATAGGAGGAAAGCACAAAACAGTCTCTCTAACTTAACTTCTTTTTAAAAGAAAATATTTTTTATTTCTTAGCGTAAGATATAATTCGGAAAATCTCTGAAACACTCCCAGAACAATGTTAAAATACAAAGCATATCTTCATCCTCAAATAGAAAGTATTAATCGGTCATTTCTGTGAAACAGAATCACAGACAAGAGAAACAAACCTAAATGACAAGTCAGTTTGAAAGCTTTTCTTAAAATGTAAATTTACTTATAATTAAATTGTTAAATACAACAATAGAAAAATATGATATTTAGAGCAAGACCCCATGAATACAGCTAACACAAAATGACACACAATGCAGGAAGAAAAAAAACAAACCCAAATATAGACGTACCAAACGGCCTACAGGTGGGAGGAAGATAGTGAGAAAGACAAGATGTGCTGTGAGGAAGTACCCCCCAAAGAAGCAGTGTCTAGCTCTCCTGGAACACAAGAATATGCCCAGGACAGAGAAGGGAGTGGGGTTGCTCAACAAGGCTTCTGGTCAGATAAGAATGCAGGGTGCTTACGGATTAGTTAGAGTAAGGGGAGAAAAAGGGCCATTTTAGACAGTGTCTGGGAAGCTCACCCACATTTGGGATGGACTGGCAACATTCTTTCATCAAGAAAGGAGGGAGGTAGTTAGAGGAGAAGTTAGGATCTTTGCAGGGGGAGTGGGAAGGGTAAAAATGCCCTGTGAAAGTGAAATAGGAAGAGAAACCATTGAGGAAAGAGAAGACAAGAGGAGGAACTGGAAAAGAGTGGGGAGGGGTACACAGCACAGGGTGCCAGGGAGAATCTGGAAGGAAGTACAGAGGTGTAGCAACAGGCCACCAAAGGAAATCCTTCCAAGAGACAGGCATGCTACGAGGCAAGACAGAAGGAACGTGGAATGCAGACGAAAGATGGAACCAGACTCTGTGGCAGCCCGAGGGCCTGCCAACTGTCCTCACAGCTGCTCACGTGACCCTCAAGTGCCAGTCATCATAGACGACCCTTCCCATGCAGTCAAGTCCAAGCAACACAGAAAGTTACACAACATCTCGAAACTAGAACACCCCACGGTACCTGGCTATGTATCGTTTCCCCATGTACTGGAACTGGTGCAAGCAGACTCTGGAGATAAGATGGAACATTATTAGGAGAACCTAAAGATACAACTGTCTTCAATACACTGAAAACAAGCACGCCGAGCACTAGTGCTTTACTACTGGTTTTCTGGGATTCTCTTGGAGGTCTCTCTAGACCCAGAGATCATTACCTGTCACGTGTCATGGCAGTGGGCGGCTGCCCGGGGGACCACGGAACAGAGGCCAGAGGCCCAGGACCAGCAGGGCTGTGACTGACTCAGGGTTAGAGGATTTATTCCAAGGCTGTGTTCATTAGAAATTAGGGTTGAGACCAAACACACGGTTCCAAGTTGTTTTTTCAACCTCACTGAAATCTATATAGAATTCTTTCTTGAGATTCAACTGTATGGCCTGATTTTCTACAGACAAGTATGGAGCATTATCTTAATGTATCCACAACACTGACTTTAAACAAAAGATCAGAAGCTGGAGCTTTGGCACAGTGGGTTAAGCCCCTGCCTGCAGTGCTGCCATCCCATATGGGTGCTGGTTTGTGTCCCAGTTGCTCCTCTTCTAATCCAGCTTCCTACTTACGGCCTGGGAGAGCAGTGGAAGATGGTCCAAGTGCCTAGGCCCCTGCACCCACATTGGAGACCTGAAGGTGGCTCCTGGATCCTGGCTTCAACTGGCCTAGCTCCTGGCATTACAGCCATTTGAGGAGTGAGCCAGTGGACAGAAGACCTCACTCTCTCTCCCTCTCTCTCTGACTCTGCCTCTCAAATAAATAAATAAATCTTTTTTAAAAAATTATGTATTTCCTAACAGATGGTTAAGATAACGGGTAGTGAACTCCTTTGGTACTGAATCTCAGTTTAGCACAAGGCAACCACCCCTTTCTTTAACTCAGCAGAGGGACTGGTCACTCTGAACCAAGTCTGTGAACTAAGCCCCCTGCTGGAGGCTCACGGCCACAGGCTCTCCCTTGTCATTCCAAAGTGCAGCAAGCTTTGAAAAGTTTCTGCAAATACATCAGGCACCAAAAACATGGCCTGAACAGCAGACATAAAGCTACTTACACTTATGACTTATCCAATTACTACGAACAATCATAGTACTGTAGGAAAAAATTTAAAGCTGCAGAATAATGTGTTTGTGAGGTACTGCCTGAGATGCTGCAGGGATGTTATTTTTAAGTGTGAAAATTATCTGGTTCAAACAGGTTTGCATAAGGGATGTGGACTCACGTCTTTTAAATAGCTTAAGTTAAGGAAACCAGAAATTTCCACTGAAGAGATGAAATGAGATAATGCACGTAGTATGTAAGACTTCACCCTTCCTTCTTAACACGTTTAAAATTCTAGTGATTTTCTGTCTCAGTGTCTGCACCTGCTTAAGTAGGACAACTTGGAAAAGCAGTATCCACTCAGTCCAGCCTGTAAGTTTCGTGTTAGTAAAACACCTTATACACCTAACAGCTGCTTCTCATCCATAGCCACCACGTATCTGCAGGAATTTAAGGCTGGGCATTGTGCTCTGGGTCTTGAGCTCCCCAGATATGTTCTAGGGTCTGGTCAGGAGAAAGAACGTAAGGAGTAGGATAGATCTGACACACACTCCATTCCTGGCTCAACTCCACATCTCTCAGTTATAGAGGAAAAAAAAATCAAGAGCCAACGAGCAAAGACAAAACTACTCACTCAGATATTGTGAAAAAATCCATAAGTTCAGATGTTGAAGCCTTGTTCCAATACGTAAACAGAGCATCTGGGGAATAAACATTTATTTGGTCAGAATCACAATACATACTATGTGCATTAGGGAGGTCACTTATGAGAATGGGAAGAGACCTCAGAGTATAAACATCCAACTTCACCTGTGCCCTCTTAGAGCTGATCAAATGACAAGCTATAGTGGATAATACACACAACCGGCTTATTCCATTAAAAAAAAAAAAAGCTCTACTTGAACACTTGAACTTTAATTGGATCACACATCACCAGTGCTATATTAGGTAATACAGTGTAGTGCTTATTGAACTTCTGCATAATATGTTCTTCAATAGATTAGCACATTTCAAGGAATTCAAGTGGGCGTTATAATCTAAATTTTTGTTCTCCTGTTTCCACTACAGAATCCACACCCCTCCATCCAAGCAGGGCATTAGTTAAGAATTTCTGTGTACAACACACATTGTCTTACCCTTTGAATTTTAACTAAACCAGCGGGAGTCTACCCCAGACCTTCCCAAGCTCATAATATTGAGTTGACCAATTTCCTATGATAGACACTTACTGATTTTCTCCCTAACCCTTTGCTATAATCATTTTGCTTCAATAAACATCCTATTACATGGCTCTTTGCACCCATGTCCAACTCTCTAGGACAGATTCTTAGACGTGAAGTAGCATATTAAATGGTATGTGCATTCAGATCTCTGCGTATGGTTTTTTTTTTTTTTTTTTTGACAGGCAGAGTGGACAGAGAGAGAGAGACAGAGAGAGAAAGGTCTTCCTTTGCCGTTGGTTCACCCTCCAATGGCCGCCGCTGCAGCCGGCGCACCGCGCTGATCCGATGGCAGGAGCCAGGATCCAGGTGCTTTTCCTGGTCTCCCATGGGGTGCAGGGCCCAAGCACCTGGGCCATCCTCCACTGCACTCCCTGGCCACAGCAGAGGGCTGGCCTGGAAGAGGGGCAACCGGGACAGAATCCGGCGCCCCGACCGGGACTAGAACCTGGTGTGCCGGCGCCGCAAGGTGGAGGATTAGCCTATTGAGCCACGGCGCCGGCCTTGCGTATGGTTTTTTAACCATTTAGTGTTCAAGCAAAGAGTGCTATCATTTTGAAAGTTACTTATTCAAATTCTTTTTTTAAAAAGATTTATTTATTTATTTGAAAGGCAGAATCACAGAGAGGCAGAGGCAGAGTCAGAGAGGGAGAGAGGGAGAAAGAGAGAGAGACAGAGAGAGAGAGAGGTCTTCCATCTGCTGGTTCACTCCCCAGATGGCTGCAATAACCAGAGCTGCGCTGATCCAAAGCCAGGAGCCAGGAGCTTCTTCCAGGTCTCCCACGCAGGTAAAGGGGCCCAAGGACTTGTCCCATCCTCTACTGGTTTCCCAGGCCATTAGTAGGGAGCTAGATTGGAAGTGGAGCAGCTGGGTCTTGAACCAGCACCCATATTGGATGCTGGCACTACAGGCAGCGGCTTTACCCCACTACACTACAGGGCCAGCCCCTCAAATTTATCTTAAGATGTTTATTTCATCTATTTGAAAGAATAACAGGGGGAGAAGAGAAATAGAGAGAGAGAGAGAGATTGATTGATTGATTGATTGATTGAGAGACTTTCTATCCTCTGGTTCACTCCCCAATTGTCTGCAACAGCCGTGGCTGCGCCAGGCCAAAGCCAGAAGCCCAGATCTCAATCTGGATCTCCTGTGTGGGTGGCAGAGGCTCAAGTACTTGAGGCATCACCTGCTGTCTCACAGACACATCAGCAAGAAGCTGGGTCAGAAGTGGAGTAGGGGCTGGCGCTATGGTGTAGAAAGGTAAGCCACCGCTGCCTGCAGTACTACTAGCATCACATATAGGCATACGTGCAAGTCCCGGCTGCTCCATTTCCAACCCAGCTACCTGCTAATGAGCCTGGGAAAGCAGCGGAACGTGGGCCCCTGCCACCCATGTGGGAGACCTGGGAGACACTCCTGTCTCTTGGAGCAGCCCTGGCTGTTGTGGCCATTTGGGGAATGAACTAGCATATGGAAGATCTCTCTCTCTCTCTGTCTCCTTCTCTCTGGGAAAGAAAGAGAGAGAGAGAGAGACAGAGAGAGACAGAGAGAGAGAGAGAGAGAAAGAAAGGAAGGAAGAAAGGAAGGAAGCTTAAACAAACAAAAAGAAGCGGAGGAGCTGGGATTTGAACCGGCACTCCAGTATGGGATGCAGGTGTTCCCAGCTGTGGCTTTTAATCGGCTGTGCCGCAATGCCCACGCTGCATTCTTGCACTGTCCGCTGAGGCCGGGAGGCAAGTGAGGAGATTTCTCTCAGGGAGCAGGCAGTGAGTCTTCAGGAGATGAGCTGTGAGGGCAAGCAGAGGTGCTGACAGCTGGGGAAGATGCACAAGCACAGCCTTTCACTCTGCACTGTCAGAAGAGTGGCAGCAGGGAAGACGTGGGCTAAACGTCAAGACGGTTATACGTAGGGCACTGTGCTGGGTACGCCCAGGATTCCATGGATACTGTGTCTTCTCAGCCCCACCACAGTCTCTGGCAGAAGAGAGCTCGCATTCGTGGATGAGCTAATGCAGGTTTGGAGAAGTTTGGTAATTCTACCTTTTTTTTAAAATTTTTTTTTTTTATTTTTTGACAGGCAGAGTGGACAGTGAGAGAAAGAGAGACAGAGAGAAAGGTCTTCCTTGGCCGTTGGTTCACCCTCCAATGGCCGCCGCGGCCGGCGCACTGCGGCCGGCGCACCGCGCTGATCCGATGGCAGGAGCCAGGAGCCAGGAGCCAGGTGCTTTTCCTGGTCTCCCATGGGGTGCAGGACCCAAGCACCTGGGCCATCCTCCACTGCACTCCCTGGCCACAGCAGAGAGCTGGCCTGGAAGAGGGGCAACCGGGACAGAATCCGGCGCCCCAACCGGGACTAGAACCCAGTGTGCCGGCGCCGCTAGGCAGAGGATTAGCCTAGTGAGCCGCGGCGCCGGCTGGTAATTCTACCTTTTACCTGCCTAAAGAATCAAGGCTGGTTCTAAAGGTCACATCTGGCCTGTTTGCCAGGCTAGGGAGCGTCCATCTTTGGACGGCTTTGAGTTCAGAATCCAGGGGGTCAGCCTGCTAAGGTGAACACCAGGAGCCAAGCAAAGGGTGGGAGCCTCCCGCGTATCAGTCTACAGGCATCCTGACCACCGCTGGCGCACAGTAGACAGGTCAGCCAGCATTGCACCACTCACATGGCTGTTCCTTGCTCAGGTCTGGGCTACTGGTGAGGAGCCTGGGCAGCTAAGCTCTGGGAAGAAGCAGGAGGCACAAGAAGGCAGAGAGAGTGTGGGGCCCTGTAAACAGAAGTGTTCACCCAATGTGGGATCAATGACAGAAAGAGCAGCCACTGAGTTAGACAACTGACTTTGGCTGCCATTCTGGTAAACTATCTCTGGGGGCAGTTATTCCTCTAGCCCCCACCATACACAAAAGTCAATTCTAGGTAGACCTTCAGATTTAAATGTGAAGGTTTAAACACAACTTTCTTTTTTTTTTTTTTTTTTTTTATTTATTTATTTATTTTTTTTGACAGGCAGAGTGGACAGTGAGAGAGAGAGACAGAGAGAAAGGTCTTCCTTTTGCCGTTGGTTCACCCTCCAATGGCCGCCGCGGCCAGCGCGATGCGGCCGGCGCACCGCGCTGATCCGATGGCAGGAGCCAGGAGCCAGGTGCTTTTCCTGGTCTCCCATGGGGTGCAGGGCCCAAACACCTGGGCCATCCTCCACTGCACTCCCTGGCCACAGCAGAGGGCTGGCCTGGAAGAGGGGCAACCGGGACAGAATCCGGTGCCCCGACCGGGACTAGAACCCGGTGTGCCGGCGCCGCAAGGCGGAGGATTAGCCTAGTGAGCCGCGGCGCCGGCCTAAACACAACTTTCAAATAAAATATAGAAGAATATATTCACGACTCAGGTAAGAGAAGACAGACAGACAGACACACACACACATACTCTAATCATAAAGGAAAAAATTAGACAACTTGAAGGCAATTAGGGACAAAAAATGTTCAAAAATTATTTTCAAGAATCAGCTTTTATTTTTTTTTTAAATATTTTATTTATTTGAGAGGTAGAGTTAGACAGTGAGAGGGAGAGACAGAAAGAAAGGTCTTCCTTCAGTTGGTTCACTCCCCTAATGGCTGCAATGGCCGGAGCTGCACCAATCCAAAGCCAGGAGCCAGGTGCTTCTTCCTGCTTTCCCACGTGGGTGCAGGGGCCCAAGGACTTGGGCCATCTTCTACTGCTTTCCCAGATCACAGCAGAGAGCTGTATTGGAAGAGGAGCAGCTGGGACTAGAATTGGAGCCCATGTGGGATGGCAGCGCCGCAGGTGGAGGATTAACCTACTGTACCACAGCGCGGCCCCAAGAACCAGCTGTCTTTTAAAAATAGGTATATGACTTTCCAAGGGGCTGACTTTAAAGAACTTTCACTTGAATACAAAAGTTCTGGTATATTTTTCTTTAAAACACAGTTATGGGCCGGCACCGTGGCTCACTAGGCTAATCCTCCGCCTTGTGGCGCCGGCACATCAGGTTCTAGTCCCGGTCGGGGCGCCGGATTCTGTCCCGGTTGCCCCTCTTCCAGGCCAGCTCTCTGCTGTGGCCAATGAGTGCAGTGGAGGATGGCCCAAGTGCTTGGGCTCTGCACCCCATGGGAGACCAGGATAAGTACCTGGCTCCTGCCATCGGATCGGTGTGGTGTGCCGGCTGCAGCGCGCCAGCCGCGGCAGCCATTGGAGGGTGAACCAACGGCAAAAGAAGACCTTTCTCTCTGTCTCTCTCTCACTGTCCACTCTGCCTGTCAAAAAAGAAAAAGAAAAAAAACACCACAGTTATGTTCTAATTATATATTATATTCAATATTCTTAATTTAAAATATTTTAAAGAAAACTTTAAACCAAAGGAAAGCAGGACTATCATACTGGCTAAAATTGACTAGCACAATGTAAAGCTTGGAATTTTTTACCTAAATGGGAAGAATTTCCACTTTACAACCCAAATTGTATTTAGTCACCACTCAAATCTTGCTTATTTGTTCTTCGACAGAAGAATAAAGTTACCTGGTCCTTAAATAGTTTAAGGACAGGCAGGTTGTTGCTACCAACTGGGAGATCAAGTCCGGCCGCCAAAGCTGCTGATGTGGAAGCTCCATAGGACAGAAACATGACTTTGGGGCAGAAACACCTCCCACAGGGTATTTAATTCCCACACCACTCCCACCAGGCACAGGCAGCAGAAGAGGCTTCCAGGTTCTGAAAAGACGGCATTTTGTTTTCAAAAGAGCTCATTTTCACTCAATGACCTTAACGAAGCTCAGAGTACGCCTTCTAATTTGTTGTAGGGAAATGTGACCAGGTTTTTCACTGAGATAAGAACTGGACCATCGTACCACCACACGTTTTCGTGGACTGCTTATACCACACGCCTGGAACGGAAACCGTCCCGTCACACATCTTTATGTGGTATAGATGAAGCATTACTAGTTCTGCTCATTCATAATAAAAAATGAGATTTTCAGGTCCCTAATCAGAAACATAATCTACTGTAATGTCATGCCTCCATTAGAAAACAAAAACAATCCATCTCTCTTCCAGTTATAGTCAGGAATATCAGACACATAAATGAAAGGAATGCATCAGATCCACTCTAAATGACAGAAATGCTTAGGTCTTCTGACAAAACATTTTCTGATTCAAGAGACTAATAAGTGGGAGGCAGTGATAACACAACTTGTCACTAAATTTGTTAGACAAATACAATTCTAAGAACAAATCAAAAGCTTGTTCATCCATCTTCCTCTGTCTCCTTCAGTTAGGATGGTAGGTCCAAGTTTAACATGAATTTTAAAAACAGGCCTAGGGACTGGCACTGAGGTGTAGTGGGTAAAGCCGCCACCTGCAGTGCCGGCATCCCATATGGGTGCCGGTTCGAGACTCAGCTGCTCCACTTCTGATCCAGCTCTCTGCTATGGCCTGGGAAAGCAGAAGATGGCCCAAGTCCTTTGGGCCCCTGCACTCACATGGGAGACCTGGAGGAAGCTCCTGGCTTCAGGCTTCAGATCAGCTCATCTTCAGCTGCTGTGGCCATTTGGGGAGTGAACCAGTGGATGTAAGACCTCTCTCTCTCTCTCTCTCTCTCCCCTCCCTCCCTCTCTGTAACTCTCACTTTCAAATAAATAAAGAAATCTTAAAAATAAAAAACCAAACAGGCCTATTCATATTTTAGAACTCATTTTCTGGAAAAGAAAATTAACAAAACTGTTTTTTTTACATTAAGGCTTCTGTTTCTATTACACTTAGTCAATTAACTTGCATTTCAAACAAGAAAGAAAATGCTTTTAAATCTGTATCCTTTCAACTGACAGCAATTTAAAAACAAAGAAGGCAAACAAAATCCCCATTTTACCTACCATCAGACATGCTTTTTAAGATGTACAGGAAGCACATCAGTAGGCTCTTAATCTCAGACTGGTCAAGTTTGTCACAGCGAACCACAGAATTTCCCAAAGTGTTACTCTGTTGATGCTAAAAAGGAAATACAGGTGATTTTTTCTGTTTCAGATTACAGGGAAGAAAATATCATTTCACTGTTTTCCTTGGAAGTGAAAATTCTTAGAACTGAGCCGAGTCATACACACTGGAAGATACAAGTAAACCTGCCAACTACGAAACCACAGGCGAACCTTCACCCGAGTGGAAAACACGCACACTGCTCCCCCGCGGCTCTGGCTTGTCTCCTTTGCACACACTCCTGAGGGGTGAGCCAGAAGGCACAACCTTGCACAATGAACAACCCGTTTTAGTTATGCAAGGTCAGACCTTCTGGAATGCCATGTGAAACCTCATGCAAGAAAGCACGTGTGCAGGGACTGAAGACAGACACGAAGGCTGAGGTCCACACACCAACCACCTCCTCAGGGACACAGCGGCGCCCGCGTTCCTGCTGAGAACCAAGGCTGCGGCACTGTCGGTCAGGGGACAGCCTGGGGCTCTCCATGGGCACTGCCAGGGGACAACAGGCAGGGCCCAGCAGGGACAAGGAGGGGCACCTCAGCACTGCATTGCCACAGGCTCTGAACTGATGAGGTGACACCAGCATCAGCTTAGCTCAACACCGCAAACGTCAGGAAGCTCAGGGCGGAGGGCGAAGGCAGTTTTGCCACTAGGCAACAGGTTCCCATAAGAAAGAAACAGAACAAGAAATCTGTTTCATGATTACAAAAGCAGGAGTTTAAAAACCGCACGTTACATTTTCAATGAAAAGCAGAAACATTTTTTTCTCCCTCTGGCCAAATACCAAAGAAAAAGATCAGTGAAAAAAGATGTTTCACTCAAGATACTGGGGACCAATTGGAAAAAATATATATATATACACACATACATACAGACATTTTATACATATATACATATATATGTATATATATAAATCTGTGAAAAATGGATTTAAAAGATAAGTTTATTGTGGTCCCCAAAACACTTGGAAATCTGTATACAGTTGTTTCATAATACACATTTTCCATGAATGCTGAAGAGCCTTCATATGTAAGAAGGAGGCTGAATTAATAAGAAAAATGAATTTTTTATTTAAGAAAGAAGCGTGTGTGCGATTAGTGGCAAAACTGGCCGGGCTGCATCGTCCGGCCGCCAACTGCAGCCACCAGGAGAACTCAGTACTTCTCGCGGTGGGAGTGCGGGCGCCGCATGCAATGTTTCCTCGGGCAGAGGTGGCGTCATTAGCAGGGAGAAGTCCACAGTGACCCGGTGTCTCCTGGCTGACTCGCAGCTCTCCTCCTCCTCTGCGGCACTGCGTAGGACACAGGCGGAGTGCCTTCTGAGCAGCTTTTCCCTCTACGCACGGAGGCATGTTGGGGTCAAGGGGAAAAGGTCAATGCGTCACGACACACACTTGCCTGGACAGAACTTCGTTCAGAGATAATCACGCCAATGCCAGGCACACACTGCGTGACAAGATAACAACCCTGATGCCGAGAAATGATGCTTTCCAGATGATGTCTGAGACCCCGGAACAGATCCCTAAACAGGTCACCACTGGCCTGAAACTGGAAATGACTTGGGAAAACGGCACCCAAGGTGATACTGATCTACTGCGTTCCAGGCTTAAATGCAAGGCTTATCCTCTCCCACAAAGTCGCAAGCAGTCTGGGCCTTTAGTAAGTTCAAGAAAAAAGGTCAGTTTTGAAGAGGATGTATTACGGGTGGGCACCGTGTGCGCACAGCGACTCCGAATCAGGCTGTGTCTCAGAATCACCTGTGAGACGAGGGGATTTTCTTCTGGAGCTAACGTTGGAGCTGACACCCAGGTCATGGTCAGTTGTGTTATAAATATTGTTCTCTTGCAAAAAGGCTGCAGGGATTCTGAACAGCACCACGTTGTTCGAGGTGCTCCATTATAAACACATCCCTGATCCGAAATCCTGGAAACAAGAGTCAGGGAATTTCAGGAAATGGGCCCCAACCTTAGATTAAGCTCTGATCATCTGCTCCAGGCTAACTGAGTAGTTTAAAACAATAAAAAAATCAGGTCACATTTACTAGATATCATAACTTGCAGCGTGTTTACTTTAGGCTAAATCCATTAGCCATAAGAGACACTTATGTTACGTGAAAAGAAGTTACCTTCTCCAGGGAATTGCTCTTCTCACTGTTCCTCTCCGGAAGGCTGTTACCCGAATCCGTGCTTATAAGAGACCCTCTTGAGTCAGCATTTCTCACGCTGTTGACGTTTGGAGTAGAAGCTGTATATGGAGAAGCTAAACGGAAATTAAACCAAAACCAAAGTTTTGTTAAAACATAGCAAAATTAAGGTGACTACTACATTTCATGGGAAATTGCTTTTACGACACTTAGATTTCCTGTTTGGAAGCTGGATCAAGTGTTGACCGAAACAGTAACTTGAGGGGTGGGCATTTGGTACAGTGGGTAAGGAGTGGCTAGGACACCCCCAGCACATATTTGAGTCCCTGAGTTTGAGCTCCACCTCTGCTTCTGACTCTGCTAATGTGTAACCTGGGGGGCAGCGGGTGACGGCTCAAGTACGAGGGTCACTGCCACTTTTGAGAAGTCCCAGATGGAGTTCTGGGTTCCTGGTTGTGGCTTGGTCCAGTTCTGGCTATTGTGGGCATTTTGGGAAGTAAGCCAGCTAATGAAAGATCTCTCTCTCTCTCTCAAATAAAATCAAAACATCTAAAATATTCAGATGTAATTATCTATTCACTTATTAGAAAGCACCTTTGATTACCAAATTGAAAGGGAAACACTCTGTTTCAGAATGGGATAAAAAGAAGACAAAAAAATCAAATAAAAAAAATTAGACTATACAACAAACCAGTGGTATTCAAACTGTATGCTAAGGTGTCCTGGTAAGCTCTGATGGGTAGCATGGGCACATTATGAAGGAAAGCACTACGATACTGTGCTAATCACGGGCCAGAAATTGCAGCTTCAACTTTAGGGCATGCTGAATTCCTTTTTTTTTTTTTTTTTCTGAATTCCTTTTGACAATGTCCTGTCTTTGTGGATATGGGTATATGGTGATTGCTATCATAAAAAGATGCAATCAATATGGCACAGGAAATGAGGTCAGTGGCACACAATCTAATTCCACAGTTTGAGACGCTGTGAGTCTATCGGGCACACACAACTCATTAGTAATAATTTGGTTACTAAAAATGAATTAAATCTTTTCTTTAAATTTATGAGCATTATTTTTTTTCAAATGCATACTAAGTTGATATTATAATACATAAGTATTTATGCTATTTTGTGTTAAAAATCTAAAACACACGGGGCTAGCACTGTGGTGTAGTGGGTAAAGCTGCCACGTGCAGTGCCGGCATCCCATATGGGCACTAGTTCAAGTCCCAGCTGCTCCACTTCCAATCCGGCTCTCTGCTATGGCCTGAGAAAGCAGTGGAGATGGCCCACGTTCTTGGGCCCCTGCACCTGTGTTGGAGACCTGGAAGAAGCTCCTGGCTCCTGGATTTGGATCAGTGCAGCTCTGGCCGTTATGGCCATCTGGGGCATGAACCAGCAGATGGAAGACCTCTCTCTCTCTTTCTGCCTCTGCCTCTCTGTAACTCAAATAAATAAATTATTTATTTCAAATAAATATTTTTTAAATATCTAAAAACCAGAACTGATAGTTTAGATGTGAAGATACCATGAAAAACTTACTGTGACAACAGGGATGTTGTGAATGCAGAATACTTAGGAATCTCTGCTATACAGAGTTCCAAACAAAGGAAATCTAACTTGGAAATTAAATTTGTGATGTCCACGGTGGGGAAAAAATGGTACGGAAAAGCAGAATCAGCCTCCACCTCTTTACTATGGAAGTTGTTAAAGTAATAGATTGGCCTCCTGTTTAGATAAGATTTAACAAAATCATGTAATTAATGACTCTCTGGACTTGCACACTGTGCTGAACCAAAGGCATGCCTCCAGCAGAAAGAACTGGCTCTGCAGATGGCACAAGGAGACCTCCGGCCCCATGCTTGGCTGCTGTGAGCACACCCTCTTAGCCCCAAGCTGAAGACGCCCTTGTGACCAGCACCTCCTAACCGGCAGACCATTTTCAGATTTCAGTAAGCAAATAGTGGCCATGGACTTGAGACATTTCTACGTTAAAAAGTAAAGAAACAAATGAATATGGTTAGCCCCTGTGCTGATCAAAAGTGATTTGTAAGTCATTCAGTTGTTACTTTAAATCTGATGGCTAATGACATAAATTCATCATTTCTCAGGCAATGTCTAGATAATTTTTAACCTTAGAAGGGAGATCTGAAGCATCAAGGTCATAAACTCTTCCCCCTACCAAATTCTTAGGTCTATCCACCACTATCCTTGAAACTCATTCAGCATATTAAGACCAGAAAAACAAGAGTTGTGAATTTCAAAATACACATGAAGGCTGGAATGTGTAGAGCACCAGGTCTTGCTGTCAGCCACGGGCTCCATCCCTTTAGGAATAATCATCACAGGGAACAGGTCAACACCCTTGAAAACACTTGGGGCATTTTTATACATTCAAAGAGAAAAGAAACACATTACAGCCAAATTATAATTCTAATATAACTGCACTTCATGCTTACTGTAGAATTCAGAACTCAGGAGAAAGAGGGCTTCAGTAAAGTTAAATTAGACCATACATTTTCTGTTTTAGGATTAATTCCAAAACTAGAGTCGCAATTTAAGGCAAACAAATGGAATATGATAAATCAAAATAAACGTGCTTAGTTTGTTCCTCTCTGTGTGTGTATGTGTGTGTATGTTTGCATTTAATATCATGGCCCATGTGAATAAAAAGAAAAGTTTAGCTCATCCTTCTCTCCTTTGTACTAACAGTCCAATGTATTATACTGAGTAGGTAGAAGAGGAACTCTGAGTCTAAGATGCTAACCTTTTAAAATGAATATCTGTAATCTCAGAGTAGTTTTTATCCAGGCAATGGTTTAGTTCCGGAAAATCGGAGGCTGCATGCTCTAAAGACATTTTTAAAGCCGGTGGAGTGTGCACTCTCAATATGCATGGAAACGGGATTTCTGCTAAACAGAGATATAAGGAGAAAGTCTGCTTTTGACAGATAAGCAGCAGGACCACAACTAACTGGAAACTTCCTGGTGAATAAACAAAGGGTTGCTAAAGTCTCCAGGAAAAACCAACCAACCACAAAACAGTAAATCCAGCTCAAAGGTAGGGCTTCCCAGAAGGAACTCCTAAAAGGGAACAAGGATGCAAGTTTTGAAGACGAGAAGAAACACAGACAAAACCTGAGTATAAATAAGGCTGACTTCTTATGAAAACTAGATCTGGATCTTGAAATTGCAGAAAGAATGAGAAGGAGCTGTATCCATCGCAAATCCTCTTCATAACTGCACCATGAACCCCCAAGCAACTGCCAGCTCTAAATGCCAGGTGGGTCTTGCTAAAACACTCACTCACTTCTCTCTACATTCTCAAGGAATCCCAAATCCTAACAAGACGAATGCTGAAGTGGCCAAGAGTCAGAGGAGTGAAACGCCCCACTCAGTGTGGCTTGCTCATTTCCACCAAGCACTGGACACTTCTCTAATGACCCTACAGAGGACTGGCCAGAGAGGACAGAGCATGAAGATTTCCCACACATTCCCAGCTCCAGGCTCATCTGACTGGCTACTGAGAATGCCATAAAGCATAAACAATGCAAAAGGACTGTACTTCCAATTATCCTTGTAAACAAAGATTCCAAGAGCCTGATAGTGAGTATTTTTAGATTCACTGACCATATGGATATCTGATGTAACTACTGAGCTGTGCTTCTGTAGTATGAAGTATGTAGTACTTGCTAACACGAGAGTCAAACAGCAGCACTGTACATACCACACGCACTGTTTCGGAGATGTAGATAGGGAGGCGTGGCAACTACTTAGTGGTGCAGATCTGAAGCCACATCTGTCTCGTTTTAAAGACAGTGCTGAGATCTGCTGCAAACAAACTCTCTAACGAGGGTCTCTTCCCTACTCCTGGAACAGTGGCTGGGCGTGTGGGCAGAGAGAGGAGGCCAGTGAAGGCCCCAGCAGAAAGGCACGGGGGCACAGCAGCCAACATGTGCCGAGTGTTCACTGGCTGTGGGGCTCTGCTGCAAGCATTTTGCATGAATTAGCCCTTTCAGTCTTTACAATGCCAGTTGAAGGTATAACTATTAAAATATACACAGGGATAAATAAGGTTAAGTGTGAGGACTGTAAGATAAAGTTGGGCATTGGTGGAAGCTTCTGATTTTATATTCCACCCCATTTTATCACCTACGTGAAACAGCATATTAATAACAAAAACCATTATAAAAGATAAGAAGGATGATAATGTGAATTAATTAGGTAAAAGTGTGTCATTAATTCTGCACCATGGATTTGTCCCATTCTTGGGTGGCCTAACCACTAAGCATACTAGGATGCCAGATTTACTCAATGTGTGGTAAAGTCAGAATATGACTGTGAACAAAGAATTGTGTGGCAATTCTTTGAAGATGTATGTATATATATGTCGCTCCCCCTCTTCGTGGAGGAACGACACAGGACCCTGCGCTGTTCTTTCGTCTGCTCGGCCCTCCCCGGGTTTGCTGCTGGTTCTTCCCGGGTTGGCTACTATCCCTTCCACCTCCGTGGAAGGGCAGTTCCCCCTGGCCGCATTCCCCACTTCCGCAGGGGAGCGGCACACCGCCGGCCAACTCTTCTCGGGGGCTGCACGGGTTCCCTTAGATGTTCCCCATAGATGTTCCTGGTGCATGCCGTCTCTCTCCTCCTTTATAGTCCTCCTCTGCCAATCCTAACTCGGCTGCCCACACGCCGAGTACGCTGCTCTCCAATCAGGAGCAAGTCCTACAGTTTATTGGTTGAACTGGAGGCAGCTGGGTAGAAGCTGTTTTCTCCTCTCCCAGCGCCATATTGTAGGAGAGCAGATGCATAGAATAAGTCTTAATTCCAGTAACTTAGTCTAGTCCGAGCTGCTCCCCACAGAGGAGAGCAGATGCATAGAATAAGTCTTAATTCCAGTAACTTAGTCTAGTCCGAGCTGCTCCCCACATATATATATAATCTATTACATATATATGTAGCATTAGCTTTATGAATTTGCTAGAATAGGGGCTCAATATAAATCAGATATGAATAGGTACATTTTCTCACATCTATTTTCTTCCACAATTTCATATTAAAAATATTGTAGGGCAAAAGATTATTGAAAGCTGATTTTAGGATTGACTTCTAGCTTCAAACTTCTATGTCCTTTACGAGTTACCCAATCACATGCTATCTGAATCACAAACAGGACAAATCCTTGTGTCCATCAGCACCTGTGAAGGAAGACACCTCCTTTCTAAGAGCAAACGCTGAGGTTTCCAATGACAAATCAGCCTAACAAGCATTAAACACAAAGTCAGCCACAGCACGTGATCTGAAGTGCTAAGTTCAGGGTTCACAAGCATGTGGGGCCTCTGCTCCAGTGTATGGCTGACAGACTGCAGTCGTGAAGTGTCACAACCAGGAAAACTATCTCCACGGCAGCATACTCAGAAAAGACGACTCTGCTGGGACTCCTGGTTCACGAGTGTGCGTGTGAACAAGCTATCTGATCGGAGACATGGGACCGCGGCTGGACAGCGTTACCGATGCCAGAGATGGCGCCCAGGAGGTCCTTGTGCAGGCTGTTGTCCAGCGTGTTTCCCTTCTGTGGCGTCACAAGCGGGTTCACGGCTGGCAAGGCAAGGGAGTCCTCCTTCACAGTCTGTCAAGGGCAGAAGAGAAGAAAGAAGCAGAGATGAAGAACAAGACTCACTGACGCACTCGAGGGTGGGGCAGAGTGATCTGAGGTGGTCAGCCTGCAGAGTGGGAGGAGTGGAGCTGCACAGGCTGTGTGCTGGGTGGGGGTGGCGGCACAGTGGGCAGAGCAGGGGCAGGGAAGGGGTTGGAGCACACAGGATATTGAGGGGGGAGTGAGGAGTCTCGTTCCATAAAACCACCACTTCTTCCTCAGCCGGCCTAGTGCCCGCCTCTTCCCACCCTCAGACCCCAGCATTTCTTCAGATTCTCTCAGAAAGCCTGCGCCCCTTCTACCTGGACACTGGACTTGCTCTCAGATCACAAACGACCTGAAATGAGCAACAGGGAATTACAACAGCAGCAACATCAGTCTCTGGGTGTCTGGAGCTTCACACGAACTCGCAATGCAGCAATTACACTAATTTTGAAGTTTTTCCCATAAAGGGGGTTTTCACTCTGGTGAAAGCCAAGGACTGACTTTGTGTTCATTTTTCTCAGGATCGAAACAATACAGAAAGCACACATTTTGCCCTGAATTCCTTACTGTGGTTAGAAAAGCAGACTGAGTCATAGAACACGTGTGTGAAATGCAGTGTGTTACATTGTGGGGTCAACAAGGTCCATTTAGGATACAGAAAGTTTACAAGCATTGGAACAGCAAAAGTAATTAAATATATTAAAAATAGGTTTTAAAAAAGCATGGATCATCTCCATGGGACATTACTTGGGAAGTTTATTTGGAGGCGAGGAGGTGGTGTGAAAATGAGGTGACACATTACTGTTGGGGGTAAAGGGACAGAAACATACATGGTTACTCAGTATATGGCACAATGGCACAGTGGGAAGGTAACAACAGAGCCAGTTCACGGTCTAGAATGAAAGGGAAGTCATTGAGCTGGTAATATCTGTACAAAGTCACAGCAGATAAGCCCTCTGAGGCCAAGAAAAGAGGTTCAGAAAGACAAAGAATACACATTTTAGTTTATGAAACGTTTACAAACTTTGATAATCAAATACTGTTATAAGTCAGTGCTTAATGCCTTTTGCAACTGAAATGTTATAAGGAATCTGAGAGTGAAAATGCTTGCAGAAAGTTGCACTGTAAAGTGAGTGCACTGTAAAGTGAGTAAGAGGACAAACCAATGTGTATCTAAGACGGAGAAAAAATAATCATCAACCAAAAAGTTTAGAAATAGTTTCTGGGGTCATCCTTTAGCCAGCTTAATTTCTAATGCATCTTTAAATGTTTGCCCAAAGATAATACAAATCAAAATGGTCAGTTCTTGGGGTGGCAACCTCATGCCCCTCTCCTTGGCAATGCTGATACTGCGACTTTCTAGTTTTTATAGATGAGAGAAACTGCAGTCCACGGAAGTGGCTTTTCTAAGACTGCAAAGCAGGTTACTGTCAAGCTCTCACAGGGCACAGGGTAAAACCATGTCCATGTTTGTTTGTTCTGCCCTTCCACATACATTTTTGTTTAATGCACATATGAAAATCCTGAGGCCTCTCACGACACTGGGCTGGGAGGGAAGCAGAGTTCTTATTAAGAGCTGAAGAGGAAGGCGCTATGCACCGACTCCATCTTAGCTAGAAATGCGACTCACCAGGAGCACTGTAGCAATAAAAGGGGCTATCTCCTGAGCTCAGTAGTGCCGCCACCCCACCTCCCAAATCCATGTCCTCCTGGAACCTCATGATTCAACCTTATTTGAAAATATGATTTTCCTAGATGTAAGTTAGATGTATTGAGTCAAGGAAGGTCAAACTGGGTGAGCCCTACATCTGATCACTGGTGCCCTTATAAGAGGAGATGGAACACAGACATACAGACACACAGAGATGCAGACACACACCATGGTTCTTCCCAGAGAACCACCAAAGGCAGCAACTCGACCCACACTGTGATGGCCTATGAAAGAACAAATTTCTGCTGTTCCAAGCCAGCTGGGTTGTGGCGCTCTGTGACGGTGCCCTAGGCCCCCACACAGCTGTGTGCATGGAACTGTGTTTACGTACACTGCCGGGGTTCACGGGGAAGGGAGACACGTCCCGCACGTTGATCCGCTGGACGTTCTCTATGAGCAGGCCGAACAGAGGCAGGTAGAGGGTGGCGATCCTGGCCTGATGACTCTGGAAGAAGACACACGTGGTCAGTCTGTGCCCCGGCTCTCGGAACTGTGAGGCCATCTCCTTTATTTGTTTGTCTATGAAGACTAACATTTGAGTTCATTTCAAAAATCAGAGAGGAGTCTTAGTGTTATGACTTCAAGTTTTCTACTTGGATGCTTTCTTTAAGTCACTTAAAATAAAGGATATTTATTAACACACAGTTCCTTCCACTGGGCACCACTCACCCTGGAAGCGTATCTGTCATCAAAAGCGTGCTTTATCAGCAGGTTCTTGAGTGCGCTGATGGCAATCACACGGACCTCCCGAAACTCCTGCAGTGCGGCACCCACCTCCCTCAGTAACAGCCCCACCAAGAAGTGGTTCCTGCAGAACTCGTCTGTTAAGGAGTAGTCAAGCTGAAGGTCTGAAATGAGGGTGGGAGCTACTTTAGTCAGGGAGGAGGTGACGCTCTGAATAAAACAGAAACCATAACCCAGCCCTTGCACAACACTCCTGGTGTCAACACACAATGAAACTTGGCTTCAAATGGAGAAGGCTGATTCTAAAACACAGCTCTGCTTAGCACACTGAACTCTCACATGATGACAAATTTAAGTACAGGTAATTGCACTGGATCTTGATTTTTGAAACACACATATATTTATAATTAAATTAAACATATATATAATTAAATTAGTGAATGGCTTTGGGACTAATTTTTAGACAATAGAACACTGTATGTTACATTACAAACATGGTTTTGTATCAAGTTAAAAAATAAAGTTATTATACAATTGAAAGAATTGTGGGGGGCCAGCACTGTGGAGTAGCAGGTAAAGCTGCCTCCTGTGGCTCCGAAATCCTATATGGGCACCAGTTGGAGTCCCAGCTGCTCCATTTCTGAGCCATCTCCCTGCTAATGTGCCTAGGAAAGCAACAGAGGATGGTCCAACTGCTTGGGCCCCTACAGCCCTGTGGGAGACCCGGGTAAAGCTCCTGGCTCCTGGCTTCAGATCAGCCCAGCTCTGCCCCTTGCAGCCATTTGTGGAGTACACCAGAGGATGGAAGAGCCCTGTCTCTCCCTCTCTCTTTGTAACTCTGCCTTTCAAATACATAAATAAATCTTAAAAAATAAAAAAGAACTGTGCAAGAGTGTAGTAAGCATGTGTGATTAAAGAAAGAATAAATATGCACGGCTGACTGAGATGTTGTTCACTACATGAGTTCATTTATCCATTTCCTGGTTATTAATGCCTACAGTGTGTTTGAAATGAAAAAATTAGCATATAACCTATTTATTCTGCTATCACTGAATGGAAATCTATTCAACACAGTATTTTATAAAATATCTTCTTAATTGTTCTGCATCTCTAAATACAAAATTAATATAAACTAGTAAATCAGCAAGCTAAATGACAAAACTGAAAGCCCTTCTGGAAGGGAAGAGACAGAATTGAAGATGAACTCTACGGAGGAAGGCAAACAAAGCAGCCAGACTTCACTCTCAAGCTGAAGTACACACGTTCAGGAAGCCGGCACTAGGACCTGAATTACTACACTGACTCCATTATTACAGGAAAGTCTATGGACCCCTTCCTTGACTATAATCCCACTGGAGATGGTTACTTCTAAATCTACTCCAAATACTGACCCACATCCCGTGACACACTTCAACAAAGGGGAAAAATGTTCATTTTTTCAGAATGACCCTATTTACCAATTACAGTTATTAAGCACAGTTTATCCAAACTATAGTCCACAGCTTGGATTCACATAAGTCTCTTAGGAGAAAGCTACCTATGGTTTGACCATGCACACTTATACCCTGTGCTTGTTTGTATGTACATGTATGTTTGCACACTATGTACGTATGTGTGTACATGGAGATGCACATGAGAAGGCAGGGGGTGAGAGAAGACGAATGCTAAGAAGATTGATTCCTATTATTGTAATCAGGCAAATTATCCATGCACAACCCATGTCTACCTGCCTAGGGCAGCCCCTCTTGCTATCAAATACCCTGGGAGTCTGCAGAGAGCTGGTGTGGTTATACAGGACAAACAACCGGGCCCTCCTGGGTTAGAGGCCACCATGGATATGAGCTCACATGCTCTGCCTAATCACTCAGCTCTTTATCAGTTGAGAGGGACGAAGAGTGACAGTCCCCAAGTCCAGGTGACTGTGAGGTGAGGGGTGTGATGACATGGAATGTAGGGGTGGAGAGCAACTCATTCCAGTGGGCACTGAGAGGAGGAGGCGCCCCCGGGAGCCCCACGAGGAAGTTGTGGGAGGTGAAGATACCCAGGGGTGGGGGCCACTATTTGAGATTGAGGGTGGCCGTGCTACAGGTAAGCAGGGATGCCTGAAATGTGGGGAACGGTGGGTGTGACACGAGAGGGAGGGGCTGCGGTCAGACCAGGGGATGCTGCCTGCCTGGCTGCTTCCCCGTTCAGAACACTTCCGGCAGATGTGCGTGTGCTCTGCTAACCTCTCACTTCCTCCAGCTGTTAGCCAGCTACCCTATCTCAGGTGTCATCTCTTTGTAGACCCCCTTTCCGCTATTATTATTTCTCGTTAGCATTTATCAGTCTCTTAACATTCTATTATTTCACTGGTAAAGAACAGCCAAGGATTTTTTTGTCTGGATTGCCCACAGCTGTATCCTAAAGCTGGAGAGTTGGTGCTAGGTAAACACTGGTGGAATGCATGAATGCCAACTCCAGGGCCACAATCCCCCTTCCTGTCCTTTGAATGCCTCTTCGGTTACCTGAGGTGTCATTAATTATTTGGTGGCATGCTTCTACCTTTTTCCTTCCAGAACAAAGCTGAGCACATATGTGGCATTAAATGCAATAAATTTTACTTGATAGACCTGACAGACTACTTTGTTTATTTCAATTTACTCAGTGCATATAAAGTAATCTCTATGAACTCACCTCTCTTCTAAGTCAGAGGATACAGACAGTTGATAAAGACTCAACATGCAAACATAAAAAGCAGGTGACAAAGCGGTGTTGCCTAGGACTTAGGCTACTGCTACCAAGATGGACAAGAACTATGGAAATGGTGGAAAGCACTTTTGGGGTGAAGTGGGGGTCTTTTGTTCATTTTACTTCAATATCCCTGAGTACAAAGCAACCCCAGGAGCAGAACACCAGATGCCTCGCGGGGATGTTACAGCAATGTCTTAGCTACAGTGAAAACAAACTCACCTCTTTATCATGCCTTTGAAAGTGACCCGAGTGTACAGGAAGGTGCCTGAATGAGAGCGTATGCAAGCACTCCAGCAAGCACTTGCATTCTTTTTCTCTCAGAGGAGGAAAATGCAAGAAGGCAAGCACCAGCCTCACACCTACCTACAGGAGTGTCATTTGACTCCACGGTTGGTGGAAGAAAGGCTAATTCACAAGAAAGAAGGAAAATGAAACAAATAAAAGATAAACTATAGTAAATCAAATGGATTTCTAGTGTTTAAGCAAAGGAGTTTTTCAACGAAAAGGAGTCACACTAGCATGATCTAGTCCGATAAGTCAAAAGTAGGCACCCAGATAACATTTTGTCAATACTTTTTTAAAATGGAAATTTAACATGAGTTCATTTATCAGTGGGAAAAAAAAGATAAAATTCCAATATTAGATTTGAATCCATTTTCTTGTTAAAAAACAAGCAGCTCACTTTGTAAAAAGATGAACACATGTGCAGAAAGGTTACCTTGGTACCTCTGAATCCGGCCTTTTCCAAACGGCATTGGTAAATTCAGAGGGATGTAATGTTCATGATTGCACACGACACGGAGAAACTCGAACTTGTACTCAAAGAGGGTCTGCAGGGAAAAAAGTTGATTCATAAGCTAAATATCACACTGGGAACTTCATACAGATCCTTAAAGTTCCACGTGAAATAGCACAGCCAATCTTCAGCTTCTTCGCCATCTGAGAACTGCCTGTAGAAAGGCTACAAGTTTGCTTGAAAATCGAGAACACGTTTCTTTAAACGATGTCCTCAACAGACCTTAAAGGCACTTCTTATTTATGCTCCTCCTATTTCTACAATGAATTCCAAACTCAATACAATAAAAAAGATTAGTAAGGCAGAGCTACGAAAGACAAAAAAAAAAAAAAAAAAACAAGGAAGAGACAGTAATTTCTACCAGAGAAAGGCTACATGGCTACTTCTGTTACTGTGTTAAGTAAATTAAAATTTATAAAGAATATAATTTTAGTATCACAGATGAGAAGTCATTTCAGGTGTTCATGAAAAAATCAACAGCTAAGTTACATTCTCATTCCGTGTTGGACGAAGTATCATACTGTGTTTCTAATGCTTCACACATACTAATGCAAGTAAGTATGAGTATTTCCAAGAGAAGAACCTAAGTTTTGCCTCTGGGATGGAAACAAAATTTTGATGAGAACTGAAACTGGTAGACTTCTAGATGTGAATCAGACAACAGGAACAGTGTGCAAACCCCACATTACCTTGGGGTCTCCAGGAGCAAAGCAGCTGATGTAGTTGTTGATCTGCTTGAAGACAAAGCCCCTGTCCATGAAGGTGAAACACCTCTGCGGAGAAAAACAATTCACAAGGATCGGTATCTCAGGCTCAGACTTTCTGGAAACATGGGTTCCGGTCAGTATCATTAATAACTTGAACCTTTAGCATAAAAATATGCACAACATTACTGGGGCATCTACACTACATGGGTCAGTCTGCTGGACAGCCACTTAAAAAGAACACCGTAGTCATAGGCTACCTGCCATAGGACCTACCTTGATGAAGACAGCAAGGCTGTGATTGGCATTCTTGGATGCCTCTGGGTTATCTCGAAACTTCTGAGTGATGTGTGGCATCAGCATGTTGACAACAGTTTCCACTGCATGATGGTAGGATGCAGGGAATCTCTGGTTTCTCAGCAACTAAAAAGAATCCAAGCAAGCATTCACTACTTTTAAAGCACTATCCTTTGGGGAGGGAAAGAAATCTCACCCATGAGTTCATTTTCTAAAACCTAGAATTCTACTTGTATTGGTCTGAAATCGGTTAAAAATGAATTATTCTTCCTTCTCTCAAAGTGCAATACAAGAGTTCCAATGCTTCAGAGTAGGTACCATGAGTTAGATCTGGATCTCAGATTTCAGCATGATAAAAGTCAACTTGCAGGTGTTTGTAAAAACATGGATATCCGGCCTCTAATCACAGAGACTCACATTCAAGAGGTTGGCAGGAGTGCAGAGAGCAGGGGTAGAACCCTGCATTTTTTTCCTGAGTATTCTTGGTGATTTTGAACAATCTCTTTAGAAAGCACTGGACTGCAGTTAGTTTAAGCTTCAAGTATGCAACTGAATATAAACAGATTGATGATTACATGTGAGCAGTTTAAACTTCGTGGAAGTAGTTAACTCTGCATAATCTTTCCTCATCACAAAGGCTTACCTAAAAAATTTGACTACTTAGCAATTTGCTATCATGTATTATCTAAGTGTCAGGCACTGTGCTACCGATTTTCGTTCAATTCTGCTAAAATCTCTGAGTTTAATCCCTGTCTCATAGAGTCAGAGAGGTTATGTAAATAGGTCTTCAGTCACACAGTGGAGAACGACTTAAGCCCAGGTCCTCTTTGAGTCCAAAGCCTGTGTTCTTTCTGCTATGTGAGACTGCACTGCCCACTGTCCCAGCATGGCCCCGTAAACAGAAAATTCACAGTCTGAAATGGAAGGGCTCTGAATGAAATGCTCTGTTGCAGTTCTCTACTCACTAGTGTATTTAATTTTTAAGCCACAAGAGGGGGGTAGTCTCATTCCCATTTTACAGGTCAGGAAACCAAGGCCCAGACCAGAAATGGAATGGTTCTGGAAACGGGGCAGACAGATTCAACCACACTCTCTTTCTTCTCTCCTTTAGTAACTGAACCTCTGAGTTCAACAGGGAAACATGGCTATTCAGAAAGAGACTATGTTTCTTATTCTAATTTGCAGATAAACATGAACCACATGACTCAGGTCTGGCTGATGCAAGCGGGTCTGAATGAAGTGACCTGTGCCTCCTTTGGGCCACGCCCCTGGAAGGGGTCCTTAGCTTTCCCTGTTTTCTTCTTCCCCGTGCCTGGAATGTGTTGCGGTGACTGAGCCAGCTTCTCCACCATGTGGATGAGGGTAACACCCTAGGCTGCATAACTGGGGAGAACGAGCTGCGTCCCTGAGTGACCTCGTGAAACAAGCTGCGTACCAGTTCACAGTTTTCCAAAACAGAGAAATAAACCTACCACTCTATTTAAGGTATTATTTATTTTGGTCAGTTTTTTTTTTTTTTTTTTTTAATTTGACAGGTAGAGTTATAGACAGTGAGAGAGAGAGAGACAGAGAGAAAGGTCTTCCTTCCGTTGATTCACTCCCCTAATGGCCGCTATGGCCGGCACTGCACCAATCCGAAGCCAGGAGCGGGTGCTTCTCCCGGTCTCCCATGCAGGTGCAGGGACCCAAGCACTTGGGCCATCCTCCACTGCCCTCCTGGGCCACAGCAGAGAGCTGGACTGGAAGAGGAGCAACTGGGACTAGTACCTGGCGCCCCAAATGGGACTAGAACCCTGGGTGCCAGTGCCGCAGGCGGAGGATTAGCCAAGTGAGCCATGACGCCGGCCTATTTTGGTCAGTTTTAGAGCAGCCAAACTAGTACCTCAATATGAAACAAGTAGTATACTGTAAAACTGGAACTGGCACCCAGATACTTCTGATAAGACAGCATATATTATTTTTATGCAACAAATATCAGAACCTAGCATGAAAATCTGAAACACTAGCTTTGTAGTAATTTCAATTCTCAAATCAACAGCAAGGAAATCTCTGGGAATGTACATAGACTTGGGACTCCAGTGAGGTAAGGATAAGAAACAAGAATGCCAAGTTTGGGACAGGCATTTGGCCTGGCAGTTAGGACACCTGTGTCCCGTATCAGAGTTCCTGGGTTTGGGTCCCGCCTCTGGCTCCCAATTCCAGCTTCTTAGTAATGCAGACCTGAGAGGCAGCAGATGATGGCTCAAACAGCTGGGTCTCTGCCACCCACATGGGAGACCCAGATTGAGTTCCCAGCTCCAGGCTTCAGCCTGGTCTAGCCCCAGTCACTGAGCGTTTCTGAGGAGTGAACCAAAGGATGGGTGCTCTGTCTTCACTCTCAAATTTAAAAAAAAAAAGAAGAAGAAGAAGAACATGAAGCCTAACTACTTTTAAAATCACAAGAGCTAATTTTGAGATTCGCAAGGGGTTTTTGTCCGTATGTACAACCAATAACTCTGTATTTGAAGTGTTAGCATCTACACATGATCAGCTCCCAGGACCTACAGCAACGTCAAATGCAACTACCAGGCATGCTGGTACAAGCTAGTACAAGCTAGCCGCTCCTGAAAAAGTGGTTCCCCCTCTCCACCCCCTCACCCCCCATCCCTGCAAGCAAAAAACAAAAAACACCTGTGGCCTTCAGTGCAGGGCTAAATTAACGTCTGCTAAACCCATGCAAAGTGGGTGGAGAACTTTATCATCATGAATGGATCATGTGGACAACAGGTGAATCTATTCAACAATGTTATTATCACTCAAACTGGGACAACAGGACATGTACACATGACTGCCTCCTGATCCGATACAGCAGAATCAGCTACACAGTATCCTTATCAGACAGAATGAAACCTTAAACAAATTAAGCCTCAGGGTGTAACTACAAGTTTACAGGAAATCTAGAGGATTGAAACCCTGTCATAGGGCACTGTGACGTCACAATCAGTCATATATAAAATGTGGCAAATTCTGCAGTGCAAATAACCCACTTTCTTCAACAAACACTAGGTCACTTCAAAAAGTTCACAGAAGTTTATTGGGGTGTAAAAGTTTTTTGAAACCCATGCTTATGTGTATATTGCATTAAAAAAACAAATAGAGAAAAGTCTGAGAATCAAAGGATCCTTAGGGGCACATCAACTAAATGCAACGTGTGGACTTTATTTAGATCCTGATTCAGACAAGCCAACTGTGAAATGACATTTTCAAAACACCTGGGTAAAAGTGAATACAGCTGGGGTGTTAAAGCATAAGGAAATATTGCTTATTTACTTTGTTTGGTGTTATAACAGTTAATAGTTATATCTTACTTACAGGTTTATCTGTTACAGATAATACACTGGATTTTTATGGATGAAATGACAAAATAGCAGGGAACTTTTTAAAAGGTATTGTAGGACAAAAAGTGTAAGGGTGCATGTATAAGGCAAGAATGGCAGAATGGTGACAACTGTCAAAGCTAGGTGATGGTTATGTGAAATCTGGTTTGCTATTCCCTCTACTTTGGTATTTATTATGAAATATAACTTCTGATTTAAAAGAAACCGAAAAGAACAGCGGACAGTTTACATACTGCCCCATCCTGAACGCTGCTGAGTGAGGGGGAAACGACATCTCAGTGGAAACGAAGTGTTTCCTGCTGTGACAAGCAGCTACAGAAGTCCTAATTTGGCAGTAGAACTAACTAAACCTCCTCATGAGATACGACACACATCGAAAGCTACTGAAGACCTGGAGGTGCTTACGGAAACGACTATAAACTGAAATGGAAGGAAACAGTCTTGGCTAATGGTCTGGTGCCAGGGTGGAGTACAGAGGAGCAGCTCAGAGCACAGGACATTGAGACACTCAGAGACTTCCCAAAACCCCAACTCCGATCACATGGCCTGCTCCAGGATCCACTGGCCCGACCACCACCCTCCACTCCTCTGCAGGGCCTGCCTGCCCAGCACGGGTCCTCCCAAGTCTAGACTCCTCCAGACCACCTGCTGTGTACCCTGTTACCTGCCCTGCCATGGGACAGACACCTACATGTCCTCCTGTTGGCTGCTCAACTCCCGCCATGTGGCCCCTCGAAGGAGTGGGATCTCTCTGAAGACCCACACCCAGTCTTGCTGCAGAGGTCCCTGTGGGAGCTGCTGTTAATAGCCAAGTCTTTGCACAGACCCCGCCGTAGGCTACCCTGCACCCTACACGTTCATGCTCCTACAATTGCTGCTGCCCAAATCATCGCTTCACGTGTGAGGATGTCGGAACAGACTTCTTCATTCCTTACTGGGTTCTTCCTCCCTCTGGTAGGGTCTGCAAGTCTCTCTTCTATGAGCTCGTTGACTGCGCTCAGATATAATAGATGAGATGCAAACAGGAACACGTGGAACGGTGCTGGGGAGGAATCTGCCCAGGACATCTCCCAGCATTCTGGAGTTGCTCTCCCACATGGGAACCCCTGCATTATTTATTCCCCCATGTTCTTCCACAATTCCACTCCTTCCTCCTACCTCCTCCTCACTTTCATTCACAAACATCAGTCTACTCTACACACTCATTTATCTCACTCCCTGCTGCGCTGGTGCCATGAGAAGAGCACCTCAGAACTCCAACTGCAGGGAACACCACTGACCTGGAGCCCCTGCGACTTTCTCCAGAATGCACGGCAGCATCTCTGCCACGGCCACCCACACCTTGCACAGGATGCGCACAGCCCGTGCCTGCAGGTGGCAGGGATGCTACGGCAGGCTGCCTGCTGGGGGTGTGGGACTCCTCTGACTGATTCTGGCTCAAGGACTCCCCAGTGGCCTTGCTCACCGCTGAGAACTGCCCTGAAGTCTCATGGGCTTCCTTCCTCCTGTCTCTCTCTCACGCTGGGTCAGATCTACACTGCCCTTCGAAGGCTCTCCGACTACCTGCTGGACACTTCCCTATTCTCCCTCATAATCACTGGACCTAGTAAATCTTATGCATGGGTAGTCCTACCTGGTGGCCCAGAAGAATGCAATCCTTTTCCCCAGAGGAAAAACGTAGGCTTATGATTTGTGCAGACTGCTGCTCACAAATCTGTTTTCCCAGGACACTCTCTTCTCTGTCCACTG